GACATGGCACCTCTGTGCTCTTCCTTGCAACCTTCCTTTCCCAGGTGGCCACAGGCAGCTCTGAGCCTCTGCGATCACTTACCCATGGGGAGGGAGCAGGGGATGGAATCTTCAGGAAGTCTCAGTGCAATCTGTAAGCTTCAGACGCAGATGTCAGGCTTCGTTAGCAGTGACACCACAAGTCTTGCTGCCTTTATAGACACGAGTTGCAGTTGGCAGGGGGCAGAGCACTTCAGAATGTGTGCGTGTGTAGGGCACTTGGGGAGGGAGGGTGCAGAATCAGGACGCTTCTTGGAAATATGCCGATGGAGAACCGCTCACGTCACAGAAATGCACATGTAATCCACTGGTTCCAGTGAGTGTGATTCTCCACAATAAAAGTGATAAAGACAGACCCTCCCCTCTAAATGCATAGTCCAAAAGCATGAACTCCCAAGAAAATGACTGGGCATTTAGCAGAAAAGTCTTTCAATAAAGAAAAAAATACATGTGGTGATAGATAAAACATATATGTGAGATCTGGTATATTCCCTTGGGACAGTTTTCAGGCAAGTTTTCATTGTGTTTGCTGTGTTTCATTACAGAATTACAATATCACCTTTAAAAAAAACCAGGGTGATCACAGCTTGTCCCATTCTACCCCTATCCATCCTTCACAGCTGTGCCTCTTCCGGCTCGGCAGCTCCCAGGTCTAAAGCCCTCCCACAGATTCGCAGCCGCGTGGCCTTCTCTTGTCACTTCTCTATCAGTTTTCTATTATTTTCCCAAGTTATAATAACCTATATCCTAACCGTCCCACAACATGGTTTTCCTAACCAACTGGATTCTCTCTCAGATGTCCAAGCCTTGGCCCCGGTATTCCCTTTATCCAGAAAGCCCTACCTCCACCCCACACCTTGGCCATCTGGCCAAATACAATAGAGTATTCAAGTCTTGCTTCCGGTACTGTCTAATTCTCTTCAAGGTGCCTTAATTTATACTTCAGGAAGGCAGGAACTATCTAATTTCCCCCCCAAAGCAACCAGAAGCTAAGACCCAACTCACCATCCTGTTGCCAGAGACAGTTCATGCAAGATGAACTATCAGCACAACCCCCCAGTACTAAGAGTGAAAGTCACTATAACTCCCCTCCTTCTGCAGACCTAGCAGGGCAGGCTCACAAGTGAGGATGGAAATTCACTTTGTCAGAGCAAACACTCCTCTTGGGGGACATCCATTCAACCTCAAGGAGAGAGTAATGACCACAGCCCACAGGCAGCAGGGGATGAGTAATTTACTGCTGCTAGGCAATTAGTGTTGCTAGAAAAAAATTGCTTTCATTTAAAATTCTCTTTAAACCATATGTATCATGGCTCATGGGATAAGTTATGTGTCATTAGAAACTAGGAAACATACATCACACTAATAAATTGTCTCTCCCATTCACCACAGTCAATAGCTCCCAGGGGTCTTTAAAAAGTCAGAGTTTTGCTGCCCTTGTTATGTGAGGTGGTGAACAAACGTTCATGTGTAACTCATTTAGCTTCTCATTCACCCCCCAGTTCTCTGGCACAGACAGATGGCAAGAGAAATATTTGCCATTTTTTTAACCCACTGGTTTGCAGGAGCATTTGCTGTAAATGAGCCCATGGTAGAACAACCACGAATTGCATTGCCTTCCCCAACAACCTGAGCATCTATATTGAGATTTGGTGAGTTTGAACTCTTCCTGGTGTTCATTGGTTATTTTCTCCAATGCACAGCATGTTTAACAATTCTACACATTCCCATTCAAAGACAGGCCCTTCGTGCTAAAAGCAGGTGGCTGGGAGGCGGTGCCGGAATGGCCAGTGTGTGGAGCAGGTCCCGAAGGGCTTTGCCATGTGAGGTCGGAGGCCACATGGCAAGTGGGCAAACATGCTTAAGCGCAGGAGATGAACCACCCTTCACTGATTCTGTCAAGCAGAAAACACTAAATGGAAAGACAGAAAATGAGGCTGTTCGTCAACTGGGATGAGGCACAGAGGAAAGGTGAGCAGCCCAGCATCCAACCTGCCTGTGTGAGCAACATGGAAACGATACTGCCCAATCATGCCTCCGACTTTGTGATACAACACATTTCATGGCTGCTTATGTGTGAGGGCAAGGACTGAGAAAATGGTGTACCCACAGGTCTGTTCCCAAGCAATTCTACTCAGGTTCACACTTTCCTGTCATTGTACTGAAATCGGTTTAAAGAAGCAAGTACAATGTTGATTTCCTAGCCTTCCCCTAAAAGGCCATGTTTTATCACTGAGCCAATCACTGAGTTATACAGTCTTATCATCAGAATTTGGGGGATACCTTGCTCAAACACTATTAAAAAATCGCAAGACCGTGACAACAGAGCATTAAACCAAGTGCGGGTCCTTTGGGAACACACAGGTCAGAGAGCCACAAAGCTGGCCAATATTTGATCAAATATTGAGAACCCAGAATACGTCAAGTGGGGGAAAGGGAAAAGCAGAGGCGTTGAGTACTCATTGCAGCAGGTCAAAGGGTCCATTTCCCATGCCCATGCCTGCGGTCCACTGCCCCCCGTGCAGTGCCCACAGTCTGAATGCTGTGCTTAGGGCTCACGTGTGAGGTCCTCAGTCACCTGTCACAAAAGAGCTGCTTCGTGCATTTTTTACAAGTAGTGAAAAGTTCTAGATGTCTGGTAGAGGAAGACTCGCGTCATTGGGATACTGTGGTTGAGATGTTCAAGTTCCAAGTCAGGAGTAGCAAAATAAAATTTGCTCAAGTTATATCAAAATAAAGGGGAAACCAATTAGCAGTAAAATGGGGTCGAGGACGGCAGATGGGCTGCAGACTAAATGTCTTCATGTCTTCACCTTTCCCTGGCCCTATGGGACCTGCCTACTCACACGTCAGAAAATCAAAACGAAGGAATGGCTTGGGTTTTCATTCCATGCCAGGCTTTGCATGAGTTATCTGACCTAAATAAAAATCCCACAGGCTTATCATACCCACTTCCAAGTGGCAAGTGACTTGCCCAGGGCCACAGAGCTAAAGGGTGAGCTAGGATCTTATCTCAAGTCTGTCTGGGTGGTTTCCACACTCACGTTCATTTCTACCACCCCAGTCAACAAGCTTAAGGATGTCGCATCTGGCTTTCAGGGGGTCATTGCCAACCAAGAAGGTACATTCTAAAAGAGTTGCACATCCCAAAATGAAATCAGTAGGAGGAAGGGACATGTCTCCTAACTTGCACAGTGAACTCTCCAAGTGGCGGCCGAGGGGAGGAGAGAACAAGTGACAATTGGTAAAGTGACAATTGTTTAAAATTATTAGAAAGAGAGAAAACAATGCTTTCATAGCTACAAGGTAACCTTGAGAAAAGATTTTTCTTCTGAAAGTATTCTGTCCAGCTAGAGGGAAAAGAAATAACAAAAACCATAAAAGCCAGTAAAAGAAAAACATGAGCAAAAAAGACCATCATTAATCTTGTACTTCAATGGTCATCACAGCTGCAGATTTCGCAAAAGGCTATAACAGCAACTCTATTCAGAGACAATTGAGGATAGGGGGTATTCTCGAAGTATGTGATCTAATTGCATACCTGATTCTGGAGTCAGCAATTGACCACAGAAACATCAGTTAAATGATCATCAGCTTAAAAGCCAAAAATAACTTGACATTTTTTGGTAACAAAAGAAGTTAATCAAAAGTATAATTTTAGCAAAGTATTCCATGTGTCCACATGAGTCACTCACTTTATAAACTTTAATGGTATTGCTGTTAAGTTTCCCAGCCTAGCCTTGGTGCAGGGACAAGAAGTGTGGGACAAGGAGGAAGGAAGGGGTGTAAGATGGAAAAGCTGGGAGGGGCGGGGCTGGGAGGGGCAGAGGGAAAGAGAGAAAGCCCTGGGGTGAGGGTCCTGCTTCATTCAAATTTTATTCTTCAGCAATAAATCTAAAACAGTTGACCCCTGAGATAGCTCAAGTATGAAATAAACCTATGTACAGAGTAATCTTACTCTCTGAAGTATCAATATTAATTAAATAAGTTCTATTTACTAGCCCCCCTTATCTCCTTTGCTGCTTTTAAGAAAGTGGGGAATCCCTTTTGGAGACCAGAGTTGACAGAAATATGACGTTAATTTTTTGCTAGGTAGACAGATGTTAGGAAATTCTACATTTAAAATAAAATACTAGTCATTCCGTATGTTATGATAAAAATAAATTTATTTAGGTAAAAAACACCATCTTTCCTTGTTTGACAAGGGTGGCTCCCCACCACGGGGGAGACTGTCCACTGTTAAGAGGAGCGAGCACGGCTGCAGGTCACTCCCGCCTGCCGTGTGCAAGCCATCGGCAACGAGCTCAAGGGACATGGTGTTTTCTGTTCATCTCACTCACTATGCCGACGGTCGCTCCATATCCTACTGAAGAAAACCACAGGAAAACAGGCCAAGAAATGTCCACTGCCAGTGGCCTTTCTGTGGATTTAAATGTCATCTTTAAATGGCCTAATCATTTTCCAGCTCCAGTCTCTAATTTGGTTTTGCAATCAAACTCATCTCTGCGCAGACCATGAATTAACAGACATTTTCTAAGCCAAGAATCACTTTTAAAACAAACTCCTATGTGAGGATAACCACACATCTTTAAATGCGTGGTTTCCAACACCTTTCTTTTGCACATTCTGAAATATGATTTTCTGCATCCTAACACTGTCATGTCATAAGTTAAAAGAATTTCATGATCACTGATCCATTGCACTGATGCCCGGTAGTTGGCGTGGTCTATGCTTCACCATCCAAGTGTGCAAAAGGGAACTTTGGAACTTCAGTTGTGGTCAGCTGGCTGACAGTCTTCTTTCCTACCCCACACAGAACATCAGTATTTTCGGACATGCCAGTCCAAGCCATCTGGGGCCCTTCCACATTGTCACTGGATAAGGAGCCTGCAACCTGATTATCTTTGGCAAAAGAATTTTAGTTAGGAAGTATCAAGTGGTCATCACTTTCTTTCCTGCAACAGAAAAGGGGAGGAGGAAAGAGAAAAGAGAACAATGACTCAAAAATCTTTGACAAGGAATAGGAACACTCCATATTCTAGGTGTATGTAGGTTATCAACATGCTAAGTGAAACGTTAAAAAGCAAAAAATTAAGAAAGCCACTTTGCACTATTTTTGGTTTGAGCAGATGCTTTCGGCAACTTCGAGGAGCTGCCCGCCTCTCTGGGACCCTGCATCTCCCTCCTTTGACGGGGCCTTCCTAATGCCTAGAATAGCAGACTGTCCTCCGCTGCAGGAGAGAAGGGGAAAGGTAAACTCTGCATCTGCTCAGCTGAGCACATCCTTCCTGAGAACCACGTTGCAGGAGAGCTGGAAGGGTGTCAGAGGTCATCTGCTCATCCTGATGACACCGAGGAACCGAGAGGTTTGGGAGAGGTGGTGGGACACGGTGGGTAACTGGCAGGGTCCAAAACAAAGCCCAGGTGTTCTGGTGAGCAGGCTGGAGGCTCTGTTGGTAGTTGGAGGGAGGATCAGTCTGTGGTGGGAGGATCAGCTGGGCTGCCCGGGGAAAGAGTGAGGAGGGGGCAGAGCTGTGACAACCAGGGCTGCCCGTCACGGTTCTCACAGTCCTGGACGGGAGGCCCTTCCTAATCCCCAGGCTCCTCAGGGAGGGCTTTCTCCAACAGCTACTCTTCATTCAGACCCTTCCTCAATTCCTGCTCCATTCTTTGGCTCCTAGCCTTTAAACACATGCAGGTGTACCTAATTTTCTAATCCTCCCCTGAGGATATGTTTATTGATTTTAGGGAAGAGGAAGGGGTAGAGAGAGGGGAACAATGATATGAGAAAGAAACACTGATCAGTTGCCTCCCGTACGCGCTCCGACCAGGGATCGAACCAGTAGCCTCTCGGTGTATGAGATAGTGCTCCCGCCAGCCAAGGCACCCAGCCACCCAAGTGGTATTTAATTTTTGATAAAGTCGAAGCCATCACTTGTTCTGAAGGCCCAGTACAATCCAGTTCCTTCCTCATGCCCTACGATCTTCATTTACTCTCTGCAGGGTCCATCAAACCCCCCTAGATCCAGGCTTTGATAGGAGTGTTCAGCTAAAACTGTTCTAGCTGATTTCACGAACGACCACCTCAGGTAATAGCCACTTGTTTTTTTTTTTTATAGCCTCTTTTTTCAAAACTTTCAGCATCCCCATTTTTCAGGTGATTTCCCTTAATGGACTCTCCTGCCCTATCTAATTCCTTCATCAGAGATGGGCCGGGCCGTCCTTTTGCACCAGGCATCTTCTCAACAACCCGCACGTAGCGCATGCGTCTCAGCGCCAACTGTCCGCTGACAGCGGTCCCCGCCGCTCAGACCAACCACATGGCTAGTCTTCAAGTCCGCCCCTCACATCTTTTACTCACACTACATGGCTGCACTGGGAAACATGTAACAAACTCCTGGGGCTTTTTATGGTGCAAACCAAGGGCTAAAAAATCAAACACACAAAACCTATCAGTAACTTTCCAGAATTCACAACTACATTCTAAGATGATTTTTTTTGTTTATGGTTAACTTCATATTAGAAAAGCAACTTTGAAAGACTTTCCTTAAACAAGGTGCCTCTTAGGAAGCAGCTGCCTATTAAAAAAATTAATTTCCCTTTATTCCCAGTTTCCATGGTAACAACTTAATGCTCTGAGAGGATAAAATGTGACTTTAAAAACTTAACTCTTCTCAGAAGACCTCATTCCATAGTTGCCAGACAGTCTTTGGAAAGGCTTCAGTCATATCATTTCAAATCCGAAGACGGGGTAGGAACTGATTAGTGGGAAATACATCCTGTGGTTTTAAGCTGCAATCATGTTCCCCCGTCTTCCTTCAGAAATCTGCATTAGAAAATCTTTTCTCCAAACACACGGGTAGGAGATACTCTGAGTTAACAACTGCTACCCTGACTAGAGATGGAAACAAACATGGGTACAGGTAAAACTACTAACCTCACTGGCTGGAGAGGCTCAGTTGGTTGGAGCATCGTCTCATGGACCGAAAGGCCCAGGGTTTGATTCCCAGTCCCGGCACAAACCCGAGTTCCATCTCTGGTTGGGGCCCATTTAAGAAAGCAGCTCATCAATGTTTCTCTCAGTGTGTGTGTGTGTGTGTGTGTGTGTGTGTGTGTGTTCATTTCTCTCTCTGAAAGCAACAAAAACCAATGTCCTTGGGTGAGGATAAAAAATACTGTCCTCATCTGACCCCCACTCTAGGCCCCAAACCACTAGACTTCGCCACTGAGGTGCCACAGGGATTTGTAAAACATGCAGTACCTGACCACTCAGTCAGGGGCACTGACCTCTTTTCCCTTAGATGGTCAAGTAAAAAATGACAACAGCCAACACAACAACAGCCACCTGGTGTGAATGAATCAAAATTATACTTTTTTTTTGTCATATCAGCAAAAAATACAAAATATTTTTGGTGTGCTGCAGAACTTCAGTACTTCGTTTCTGTGGGCTATGAGATGCAACACACTGAACAGCGCTGGTCTAGACTGTTTTCTTAAGTGTCCTGAAGAAGAGGGAGTGACGCGCGGTTGGTGCACGAGGAGTTGCTGGCAGGCGTCTCCAGCCCAGGCCGTGCAGCCTCGGGGGACGGGTCGTCTGCACCACACGCTGTGCAAGGGAAAATGCCCTTGACATTTGGGGGGCTCCACCTCCAAGATCAAGAGCTTTAACCTCTTCCTTTGGTCACTTAAGAAAGAGTTCACCCTCTTAACTTTAGAGACATAATTCACACCTTCTCATAATAATCTCATAGTATCCCCATGAGAGTCCAACCATGCCAGGTGGTCTTCCACCCGTTTTGTGAGAATTCACTTCTAAAGCTGATTTCAGTGGGAGGAAAGCTGAGTTCTCTCCCACAATCAGCTGATTTCCGAGTGCAGGGCTCACCCCACAGGCCTGTTTGTCAGGGTGCAGAGCCCCTCACCTCGGGAGCAGCGCGGAGACCTGGCTACACACAACACTGACCTCCTCCGACGGCAGGTGCGGCACAGGAGGGCTGAGGGCTCCCGCCGGCACTGCCCCCGGCGGCCACGCTCCTTCAGGAATGCCTGCAGGTCCGTCACGGGAAACCCATTCTGTTGGAATTTCTTTAAAAAAGTGCACAGCATTGTCACTGTATTATTCCTAAAGCACGAGAAATTGCTCCCTTTGTCAACAAACCAAACCCACCTCTGCTAAAATGAAACTCTCCCACATCGCCAGCTCAGCTCCAAGAAGTGATATGAACAGTGATGAATCAATGTGTCAGTCCCAGAAGGCCAAGCCGAGGCCACCGGGGCGGGTGGGTGAGTCAGGGGAATAAAGGAGATAATCTAGAGCCTAAAGTTTTAATGCTAATGCGAGACCAGATAAGATGCCCCTCACTGCCAAAGTGCAATCTGCCTGGGAAGTAAGTAATCTCTGTTTCCTCCACTTTTATGGAAGGTGGTCACTTAGTGGGGCAGGAGGCAGTAGGTTCTTCCCAGCAGACACCAAGACTCTGAGACCCCCTCCCCTCAGGCTAAGTGAGGCCGTCCACCACATAACTGAGGCTTGACCCACGCACAGGGACGCTGTCACGTCAGAGACAGGGACCATGCGGCAGAAGTGAGTGGCAATTCTCTCTATGTGCCCGGTGCTACTGTTAGAGCCAACCACCATTCCCACGTGAAAACTGATCTCCCCACGCACACAAACAACTGTGCTCCGGAGCACTTCCAATGGATGGGCTCCTTCTGAGTCAGTCTGAGAAGTTCAGGAGGACAACGCCCCAGACGCTGCCACAGTACACTGCCCTGGTTGCTCTGACGCTGGTCCTGAGACAGGACTGTCGAAGCACAGCTGTCTGCTGCTAACAGCAGAGCTTCCGTCAAGCTACCACCCGGTCCAGTGGACGTAGCCGGAAAGGACGCAGAACCCCATCAGGCAGCTTAGGAAGACAGGAAGCTGAACAGCCACCAGAGCCTCAGCTTCCATAATTTGAAGGCAACAAGCACCACGCAAATGGCTGTGTCAGCCAGTGCAGAGCTGTTCCGGGATCTGTACAGTTGTCAGGTGGCGGTCACCCCTTACCACTGAAACCTACCTCTCCAAACCGAAGTTCTAGGACAGACGGACATGCCTGTCTGTGCCAGGACCAACAGCCCAGCTACCAGATTCACCAAATTCAGCCCGCCCTCACCCACCGTCTCTCTCCTTCCCCCCAACCCTCCCCACCAACCTGGGTGATGGGGACAATGTCCTAAATGCACATTAAAAATCAACCTCCAACATTCAACAAGTTTCTTTTCTATAAAACCTCAAAATTTAAGTAAAATGTAGTGTTTTCATTTAAAAAAAAAAGACAAAAAACAAGTAGTTCCAATGTTCCAATATGTACAGAATTTACAATTTTCTTGGCAGGAAATAAGTGATAATTACTTACCTTAATGGTGTCATAAGAATCTGTAATAAGAGCAATGAAGAGGCTGAGGATCATATATATGAAAAGGCTGATGAAGGAATATAAATACAGGCGACTGAACAGCCACACGAAGATGCTCTTCTGCTGGATCTGAGCAAAGGTTGCAAACATATCATCACCGTTGACCAGAGAGAACAGACACTCGGAAACAGTATTCAGACCTACAAACTGAAAGGGGGAAACCAAAATTAGCTTCTAAGATATATCACCCAAAACAGCAGAGAAGTGTCCAGCGGGCTGTTTTGTTGAAGCTGCAGTCACCATCATTGTGAGGGACAGTCATTTGAAGACAGCAAGAATGCTGCAGGTGGGGAAGCTTCATTCAAAACTCCTTTGCACACGCAGTCTCTTGACATTTCCCTCGGTTTCCCCATGTGTTTTATATATATATGTAGTCATATCATCTAACAATGTTGGATCTTGATCTTTTCCCACTTAACAACATCTTATGCACACCGAGCATTTGTTATATAACAGACCACCCTTAGACATGTCAAGTTTAACTATTTCCTGTCACTGGATGTCCCAATAATGTTTATCATTATAAAGAACAACATAACGAACATTTCCAAGCTAACACTTTTTTTCCATTTTGGGGTCTAAGCAATTCACATTTTTAAGGCTACAATCTGCCCAACAAACTGCTTTCTGAAAGAACTGTAGCAACTGTATCCTACCATCAGCCAAGGTGGACAGGCCTGAGACACAGCATAGGCTCAGGAAAATTTTGCTACACGAATGGTTTCACTGTAGCCTTTCCAACCACGGGCCTGGGTAACGTCAGCACATTAAAAACTGAAGGCTGTCGGTGACTGGAAGTAAAGGATGACTGACCTGCCCGGTGCCTCCTAGGGCTCCCACACTGACAGAGGACCGGCCACCACCGAGATACAGTACAGTGCCCCGTGGGAGAGCCTGTGTGGGATGTACTAGGAAGGCGCCCCTCAGACCCAGGGCCTGAAGGCTGAGCTCCCCGGTGAGAGGAGAGAGGGGAGGATTCGCTCAGTGACAATGGGGGAAGTGCGGTGCTGAGCCTCAGTGTCTGCAGAGGCACGTCTGTGCCACACTGCCAAGGGCCTCGTTTGGTCTTCTACATACTTGAAACTATTGCAGGCCAGGCCTGGGAAGCAGTAGGAAATTGCAGCCAGAGGAGTGATCTGATGTATCCCTAAAGGGCACCCACAGCACGTGGAAGATCCCCTACCATGAGAAAAGCCCAGAGCAGGGAAGCTGGGAGGGAGGGGTACAGGAGCCCAGGATCGTAAGGAGCGCAAGTGAAGCTGGAAAAGGAGGAAATAAGTCTGGGAGGGGACGAGGGCAAAGGCCTCTGAATGGACTCAACTTAGACAAGACAAATTTGATGGGCCAGGCAGACGTGCTGGTCTGAGGTAGCTGGAAGCATACACCTGGGGTTCCAAGCTGGTGTGAACACCAATGGATCCTGCGGCCAGCATCCTCGCTTAGGTGGCTGACCACCAGCTCCCGCCACATCGACTGAAGACAAACAGCAGGTACTTAATAAGCAAACATCCTAGGGCCAGAGGGTTAGTATTAGAGTAAAGCTTCTAAGGGACAATAATGACCTAATGCAGAAGATAGCATGGTTTTCAGGAACACAGAGAGAGCAAGTTACTGCAGAGTTTTGAAACAAATACTGCCCTTAGCGGTGGGGACTGTATGTCCTGTAAGTCTGTGTGGCTTTGGGGACAGCCAGGTCTCAGGTGAATGGAACATGTCTACTTGGAAGTCGTGCTATTACTTCACAAGAAACAAATAAGACCTCCCACCACACTAGCCCAGAACTGGGCTTTCCTTCCAAATCTCCCTATTCCTGTCGGTGATCTCAGTCTCCTACCCAAAAAACATTTACTCCAAAATAAGCAGGGACTTCAAACTATGTGTTGAGTTGATTGATCTCGCCCCCGTTCAACCTGCTCAGGGCTGCTGCTCCTGTGTTTCTCTGACCCAGTCTTTCTCCTCCACTCTTAAGTCAACACTTTTATCTGGATCATTACAGAAACCTCCAGGGACGCCTTCTTCACGCCAACCTCTCCGCCCTCCAGCCCAGGCTGCAGTAAAACCTCAACTTTGCCGAATACGACCTTCTGATCCTTTCTCTTGCACAGGAATATACACCGTCTGGATGCAAAGCACAGGCCCTCCCCTGCGTGGGCGGCCTCTTTCCATCTCTCCGTGGTCACTACTGCCCTGGGCTTTTCTCCCCCCACAACACCAGACCCACTTCTCTGTCTTTGCCTCATGGGGTTTATTCTCTTCATCTGACAGCTTCTTCCTCTGTGTCCAACAGCAGCCAGTGTCAAAAGGCTATTTCAAAGTAGTACCTCAAGACCGGTTGCCTTGGCAGCTCCAGTCCCTTCGCTGTCTCAGTAAGAACCACATGTAAACTGCTGGTTGGTCTTCAAACTGGTTTTGAACCCACCTCTCCACACCCCAGCTGGATGGGCCAGCACCATGTCCGGCCCTCCCTCCTCCACGCCTGGACATGCAGGGTAAAGTCTGTAACCAGGGCGGCGGACACAAATTTAACCCCATGCCCAGGCCTTTGCTGCCCCAGCAGCAGCTCTGAAGCCGCTCTCCACAGAGACCTGGAGGGAACATCCAGTTGAGCAAAGTGCAATATGCAAATTATTTAACAGTAAGACAGGAAGTTCTCAGAGTAAGTATTTTGCATCCCCACCACTAGCCTCCAGACAACGAAGTTAAAGTTGGTTTCTGTGGGCGTCAGTTACAACCCTAACAACACCACTAATACTTCTATTTCTCAGCTTCTTTTGGAACCTGGCCAGTTCCTTCCTTTCGTCTCAAGAACCCCTAACAGTCCACACTTCAGGCTCCAGAACCGAGAATGACTGGTTGGTCGGCACACACCAACTTCACGCCTTTGCTTCCAGTGCGGTGACTTAGTGTCGGGCTGGACACAGTGCCTGTCCCAGCACTAATGTCACTCACAGTCACTATACGGCTCTCTCCTCTCTGCCAGTGACATTTATTCTAACTCACCAAAAAGTGAAAACAGAGACTCGGTGAGGGAAGCGACTGGTATACACCCTGTCGTTTTGTACAAGTGGCTGCGAACCAGCCAGTTTCCCTGACCAAACTCCACAGCAGAAGGGAGCATTCGAAACACCCAAGAGGAGGAGAAATAGGCCCTCAGGTGCGGCCACTCCAGCAGAACTGCTTTTACAGGGAGTTGCCTTGGTTCTTAAGAGCTGGTAAGCCCCTGGGAGGCAGGGAATGCTGTCTCTCTGCTTCTTGTCCATGCAAATGACGTGTTGAATCCCTACCAGGCCCTGTGCACCACGCTGGGCGTGGGGAATGCGAACCACAATACACCACAGTCACTGCCCTTCAGGAACTCAGCCTGGAATAACTGACAGTGCTCAGTGCTCGGCCAACATTTAGTGAACAGTAAAGGTTTTCCCATAAAGGGCTCCCCCACCCACAGGTTCTGCCGTGACCACAGTGAGAACCCAAGCATTGGTTTCACAAATGATATTTTGAAATCAAGCCAGAAAAAACTTTTATTTGAATGAAAACATACCGTGCAATGGCTTATGTCAGAGAATGACATAAAAATTGGCTATAAGAGCCACATTTAGGTTAAATGTTTTCACTGGCTAGAGTTCTTCGGAATAAGAGGGGTGCTGGGCTAAATGAGAGGCCCTGGGGGGAGGAAGATGTGATGCAGGTTCTGCCAAACGTTACTCACGGCATCAGCAAAGTCCGGCAATGTTTCAATACCTCGGTCTCCTCCCTTGTAAAATGGAGACAATGCAAGACTACCATTTATTCCTCACAGCGAAAAAATCCTCTGGAAACGTAAAAGGCACATTAGAGTAATGTTCTTCCAAACTTTCATCTTGAATTATTAAATCTCAACAGTCTCTAGCCCTCTGAGCCCAGACCTCTTGAAAGGGCTCTGTGCCAAGGTCCATTAGTGCTGGAATCAACATCGGCCGGACACTTCTTTTATGTTTTCCTCCTTCCAGCTGGACCGTTGAAATCCAATGTCCACTAGGAACACGGGAGGCTGAAATGTGGGTCCTGCCCCCCATCGCACGGCAGTATAAAACTAGCTTTCCTGACGCCTCCCCTTCAGAGTGATTGGCTTGTTTAAAGAAAGAGTTAGCTTCTACACCTGAAGCTTGCTACGATTCTAGATCCTAGAAAATGCTCGCTGTGGTGCCCAGCCTTTGAAGGCTTCAGGAACTACCGAAGACCTTCCGATGCAACAGACACTGGCTGGCAGAACCTGAAAGTTCTGACAGTTTGAGCTCATTTGGGGGGTGGGGTGCGGGAGCCATGCCGGGGGCAGGAAACATCTCTAACTTCAGAGTCAAAGCAGCAGCAATACAGAGAAGGGAAGCACAGAAGCCCCGAGTCGGACTGAAGGTTTGCTCCTTCCACTGACCAGTCCACTCACTGCACTAACTGGATGACGCCTTTCCCCAGTGTGTCGGCCTGGGTAGAGCTGGGAGGCAGAGCCATCAACGGACCCGCTCGCAGCCCTGGACACAGCCCTTATCCCCGCTGCTGCTCCGGGAGGAACGGAAGGCTGACGTCAAGTGAGAGACACAAGGCGAGCGGTGCCACGTGCAGAACGGGAACCACCAGCCACACGATGACTGCAGAGCACTGGACGGGTGGTCAGGACAAAGCGCACCCTGGATTTTGAAGATTTAGTATCAAAAAAAGGGTGGGGGTAAAACATCTCACTGTTTTCTGTTAAGTACACGCTGAAATAATATTTTGGATATATTGGGTTAAATAAAATATATAATTTAAATCAATTTTATCTGTTTATTTTTTTAAAAATTATTTTAATGTGGCTACCAGAAAATTTTAAAGCACACATGGGGCTCTCATTTGCAGCTCTCGTTGTGCTTACCAGACGGTGCTGGCCCAGGGCATCCCCATCTCACCCGAATCTTTTGAAAGGAGGACAGAATTGAACATATGGAAATGCAGTCGGACTCACAAAGCAAATCAGGTCATTTCCCACAAGGTAACCCTGACACAGGCTGAAAGAAATCCTCTCACAGTTGATCTATTCTTTGGCCAGACCAAATGCTGTTTTGTAATAGTCTGTTATAGATAATACCAAGCAATGCCCTACTGGGTATAGGTCGAAGCTTCTGGATTGGACCCGGGCGTGCATCCTGTCTCTGCCAGTTACTATCTGTGTAGCCTCAGTAAAATTATCTAACATGTTAAGATCCCCATTTTCTGTAAAAAGATAGTATTTCCCCACAGGGCTACTAGAGAGTTAACATGGCATAGAGCACTCAAGAATGATAGCTATATTAATACAATTCAAGCAACATTATCTGAGCATCTTCCAGAATAATGATGGGGCAGGGGAGATGAAGGGCAAAGGAGACAGGACCGCTTGTCAGTAAGGCCTTGTAGGCAGTCAGTAAAAGCCAAAAATCTGTTAACTTGGTATTTACTTCACATAGTGCAACACTGCCCTCTAGTGACCAAAAATTGGAGAAGCATCCACAGAACAAAGCGAGTAAAGAAGAAAAATGTAAATTTTCCTGGGCACTAAGACAGTAAGTTCTCTGGATCAGAGAGATCTTATCAAAGAACAGTTTTTACTCATAAGTCACCTCTAAAGCAGTGGCATGAAGTTGGAACAGCGATGACATTATCCAGATTTACTATTAACCCAGAGACTGTCGTGTTGTTGATTATACAGTTTCTCAACCAGGAAAACAATAATTCTCTTTGGATATATGAAACGCAACCCTTGCAGAGGAGAGAGCCTGTGAGTGTGCCAGATTACAAGCACATATTTAAGTAGAACGACACAGAAAGCTTAAACTGTGTGGATTGCTCAGGTTTTGTAAATTTATAAACCAGATTCAATCACATAGTTTGTTTAAAGCAGAAATCAAGGTCAAAACTTCAGGCTGCGCTGTTACGCAAGCTGCAGCTTGCTCCTCTGAATGTTACCTTTTATTTTCTTGCGCAGCAACTAAGCCAAGATGACAGAGCCTGGGCTTGTGCGGAGACTAAAGGAACGAGAAGGCCGTGCACAGTGCCCGACATGCAAGCACACGGTGTGGGCCGCTGCTATTTTTGTCGTCGTTCTCGTGGTTCCAACTGCAGAGGCCCGTGGAAGGGAAACCATCAGATGTAATAACTCCTTTGACTTTTTAGTTTGAAAACGGGGCCTACCTAATTTCATTTCCTGACGCCTCTACCAATCCAAGTTACTACTTTAAGACAAGGAAATAAGAGCACAACTTGGATGTCCCTGAGATTATGATGCTGACTGAAGCCCAGCGCAATTTAAAATTCAGATGTTGATCTTTAATAAGGCACAGAGGTGTGTTGTCGTCAAAGCCACTGCGGAGACAGGGCGTGTTATCGTTTTACTCACACACCTAATACGGTCCCTTGTGGGCCCTCTCTGTCCACCTTCATTCTCCTCGATTAATTTGGATCAAAACCCTAATACTTTAACTTAGATGTCACAGTAATTTTCCCCATTCTACTTTCATCTTATAGTGATCTCACATCCAAACATCTGTTATCTGATGGTCGGCTGGGTGGATATGTTGTGGGAGCAACTACTTTCACGAGGTCCCCCCGGTGCCACGGACACGTGTGAATAAGTAAATATGGCCAAGACTAGATGAGATCTGTTTGGAGATGGAGGAGTGGGCTGTGGCCAGGTTCTCTGGGGAAAAAGAGGCCAGCAGCTGCCAGTTTCTCCGAGGAGAAAAAGGCCCTGAGCGCCCTCTTCCATAGCCTTTTATTGGGCTGTAATACACAGGAATACAGGGCGGCAAGGATCAAACAGTAGATAACATTTCAAAGAGATCTGAGGGCTTCAGAGTCAGTGTCTGTCATGAAGAGAGTTGCAGAAACTTTGGGAGACATACTCATTTCCTCTCTGACCATTATCATATGAATAAAAGCACTCTTAGCAGAGCAGATTTCACAGGTTAATCAGCAAGTCTTTGTGATGCCAGATCCCCCCCCCCCACCCTTGGCCAGGCAAGGAGCTGCACCTCTCTCCATCAGGTGTTCAGGCTTAAGGGGATTACAGCCAGGAAGTGCTTCTCCCAGAGAACATGGGGACTCGGGCTTTGTCAAAGCTGGGGGGTGAGAGTCCATTGCTCTCTGTTGCAGCCCCCAGAGTCCTTTCATGAAGGCCTCCCAGGTGATCGAGTCTGGCTTAGGTTGCCCCCCGCTGTGAGGGGTCTTACCCGTCATTGACTTCCGACCAAGCTCTGGGGGCAGGGAGAGGAACTGAGGCAGCGTTTGCTACCAGAGACAGGCTTTGTCTCCTGTGGCTGGCATTCCAAAGGTCATCTCTTGCCCTTAGCCACAAGGGGTAGAGACACAATTCCTAAAATCAGGCAGAGCAGTCTACTACATCACGTGACCCGTGAGCCAGGCCCAGACAGCTCTGAAATGTGCTCTCTAGTCTCTCACAGTAGCCTCAAGACGCTAAAAAGGAAAAGGGAAGGAACACCATTGCAATGATGTGGGCTTCCTGCATTCAAGGGAATGTTCTGGAGGAAAGTAAGAAGGAGGTGAAGTGCGGGGAACCCAATTTTGGGGGGTTCTCAAGTGCCTAATTTGCAAAAGGAAGAATCGGCACTACATACCTTATTGTGATATGGGCCTAAGACAATCCAGCCACAGAAGGTGTAGCCCAGGTAAATCATCCCAGCGCAGGCGCAGAAGCGAAGGACTTTCGGCAGTGAGGCTTGCATCGTCAAGATGAGCACCTGAAAACACATTGGCAGACAGGGGGCACGGAGAAGGAGCGACGGTACCCAAGGGAGAAATGAATCGCAACCCCAGCGGCACTGCCCCGGGCCACATCCTTACATTATATTTTTGGAAGTAACCCAGGTATCTGATGACTCCAACCCAGACGAGAAGTGTGGATGTTCCAAGCAAAATGCTGCACAGGTCATAATTTGTGAGGTTCTAAGGAATGGAACATAGAGATATGAGTGAAATATTCTACTCTGTTTATTAATCTCACTTCAAGTTCACTGGAAAAGAACAGACAGCCTGCCTCTCTGTGGCTGATAGGAAGGGTTTTTGGTTTTTTTTTAACTTGAGGATAATAGAGAGCACAGCATGGGCGTGACCCAGGGCAGAGCTGGGCCTGCAGGGTAGGCTAGGGGACAGCACTGCAGGTGAAGGACCAAAGGCTGAACCAGGCCCGATGCTGGAGGCCAGAAAGATCTCCTCCAGGCACAGCATCGCTGGGTCAGTGAGGGTCAGTGAGGTCCAGGGCAGGAGAGGGCGGCAGAGCTACATGTTGAGGACCCGAAGGCCACTTCACCCAAAGGGGCTCCCGTGAGAAAGGACTATAACAGCAACACAGACACTTCCAGAAACATTCCTCTGACAGCTGTGTGGACAGATCTGAGAAATGCAAGGCCTAAGGAGACAAGCAATGAGGAACTGGCTGTAACAATCTGGACTGGAGAGAAAATTGGCCTGAAGGAAGCCAGAGGTGGTCGGAATGGATGAGAGGGAGGGCCATTTGTGTCAGGTGGTGAAGTTGGTAAGATTTCCCCACTGATAGCAGAGCGTGGAGCAGAGAACAGCTGGGAGGGAGGAGTCAAGACTTCGTCATAAGATCAAATCAACGGAGTTACACCTGGTGTCAGGCTTGTCCTAGGTACCCCGATATTCCTGCCCTCACCCCCCTCTGTCAGAGCACCTGCTGGGCAGGGACGGTCACCACTGGCTCTTAACGCGGCTGGTTCATGGGCCAGCTATTCCTTCTGTGACTTAAAAAATAAATGAAACCCATCCAAACAACCAATCTTCTCCCTATTCTCAAGATGCTCCCAAGATTCCTGGGGATAGTCTCAGAAATATCACCTTTCACAGATCATCAGCTTTCTTATTGTCCCTCCATGAGGTGTCAGGTCAGGCTTCAAATGTAGGGGTATAAGAAAGAAAAGATGAGAATCAAGCTAGTCTCCACAAGGCTTCTGTATCTTGAACGACATGATGTCACCCAAGAGGAGAGGAACAAAAACAGATTTAAAATGGGCTGCCCCTCACCTTGACTTGAATTTCCATTTTCAGGATGGATCCAATCACTGTCATTAGGTCGCTGATAATCACCAGGATGTACCACCCGTTGACGAACTCCCACTTGTCAGCGCTACACACATGCCGCTTGTACTTCTCCAGGAAGAAATTTACAAATCTCTGCAGCAGACAATTTTAAAAAGCATTTCTTACAAACCTCGGTGCCCTCTGGAAGGAGAAGACCGGTGCAGCACAGGCTCTGGCCTGTGAAATGATACAGCATCACCTTTTCCTGTTCGCTAGATCCTCTTCGAGGCTGGAGATGACGGCCCACTTTCTCCCCTCTAACCCCCCAGCCAGACGTGGGCGTTCAAGTGCCTCCCGAGGGAACTCAACCATTGCAGGCTACGCGCTCACTTCAACAGATTCCTGTAAGAGCTAACCCAGTACATCTCAAATATTTTCCGTGTTATCAGCTCATTCAACCTGAGAGCAGCCTATGAACTAGGCATCGTTAGCCCGACCTTGCAGAGCAGAGAACTGAGGCACGGAGAGGTAAAGCCAGGATCGGAGACCGGGAGGTGGTCCAGCTCCACGGCCTGTGCTCCCAGTGCGCCCACCCCACCCTGCTCCGGCAGAACCAGGACCCTGACCTGGGATCAGAGTATCCGGGCACTTACATTGTGGGGCGGGGCAGTAACAGACATGGATATTTACAAAATAAGTTGACCAAGGTCAAGAATGAGAAAGATAGGACGCAGGCTGTTTTCTTGCTCCACAAACAGTATTCAGACGACTTCCTGCACCTGGCCCCTGTCTGCATTTCCACACATGCCACAGACCAGGGTACGTGTGTGGGGAGCTGGGTTATCCATATAGGCACAAGAGCGCTGAGAGTAAAAAGGTAAAATGAAACTCAGGGGAGAATTTTGAAACTATTAAAAAATTGAATAGAGTATTTTATGCTTCATTATAACCCATTTATCCTGCCTCCCTGTCAAAATGAACTCTGATTTGAAGACAAAAGACGAAACCCACATGGGCTATTATTCTGTTCTTCAGATCATGCCTGAATTCCAAAGGGTCTCGCTTATTCTAGAAACAGTCAAAAGCCTGAGAATTCACCATTGTGTACCTGTGCTTATCAGCTCAGTTTTAACAGGATAATTATCGGACCCCACCTGACGTGAGGTGAGAGCTTTTGCTCACCCTACGCACCTCAGGCTGATGAATGCCTTCCAGGGGACACCACTGAAAGGAGCTCATTTAGTCAAGGGCCCCAGAAAGTGCAGGATGAACCAACATCAGGGTCCACTGTTCAGATACATGGGGGGGAGGGGCGGTGGCCAAGAGGGGAGGGAGAAAATTCGAACACAAACTTACCTTGCGTAAACTTAGAGCAAGGAAGATGGATCTTGTGCACAGAATCAGAGAAGCCAAGCAAATCACAATGACAAACGCATCAAATGCCAGTACATACTGAGTATTCTTCTGAACTGAGGAACAAACACAGAATTCAAAAGTCAAACACACCTTACCTGGGAATAATTTCTGAACAAGATGGCAGTCAAAAAAGAAGTTCAAGTGATAAATTCTTAAACAGCAGAAACAAATCACAAAGCATTCACTCAGAAGTCTACAAATAAGGTAAAATACCACCTGATGTTAAGAATTATACACATAAAGACATAAACTCAATATATATACCAAATGCATTTGTAAATATTCACTGTAGAGTTCAACAGAAGGTAGTCCATTTGAGCTCCACTCAAAAGAGGCAAAACTACTGACATACTCTGAATTCTTTCACACAGAAGCACAAACATCATGATTTCCATTAATGAGGGAAAAAAACAACTGAAAATACTGCCAACTCAGACTCTGCATTTCAGCTTTGTGACCTTACTGCGCACTTCCCCAGCAAAGAGTGCCCTTCAGTAAGCTCTCTCTGTGCACAGAAAAAATAACCTCTCGGAATGGTAGTAAAAAGGAGAGTAGTAATCAGATTTATGTCTTGGAACACAGTAGTCTGGGGAACATACTAGAAGAAGATAAAAGTGTAACCTTAGCTCCTCTAAGACCTCATGGTGCTGTCCCAAATCTCAGCCATGGTTCTCGCCTGCTTGGCCCCCTGCTCCCTGCCTGCAGTCTCATCACCTGGCAACTGCTTCTCTTCCCCTACCTTCTCTACCCTGAGGCCACACTGGTCTTCTTCCTTCCCTGCTCCCGCTGGGTTTTCTCTCTTGCCTCAGAGACTTTGCACATGCTGATCCTTCTGCCGGAACAGCATCCCCTCCATAACACATGTTTAGGTTATTCTTTTTCAGCCTTAGGTTTCAGGTTGAATATCTTCCTCTCCAAATGAAATTCCTGAGATGCCCATGTTTATGAGCCTTGCCCCTACTCTTTCAAACCATTCACCATAAGTGTACACACCGATAGCTCCTTTTAACTCTCCTTTGCTTGACGACCACTGAACTTGTAATTATGTCTTCAAAACAGCACAGCAAGGAACAGAGACAGTGTAAAATGAGAAAGAACTTGGCCTCTGGAACCTGAAAACCTGGGTCTGATTCTTAGCTTTGCACTCAGAAGCTGAGTAGCTTTGGAGAAAGTGCCTCAGTTCCCTCATCCAAAAAATGGGTATAATAAAAAAATACCTAAGTCATAGGGCTGTTGTGAGGATTAAATAAGTTCATATAGGAAAGCGCAAGAAACAGCCCCTGGTAAATAACAACACACATTTTCCATAGTTACTATGGAATCATTCAATGCTCATCTTCCCCTCCAAATGACTGGCTCTGGGAGGCAGGGACCATAAGTATTTTTCAACATTACAGTGACTTTGCTTAGCATAATGCTTCAATATGCTTATGAATAAGTGCAGAGACTCCAGCAGAACATGAGAAGAGCACTGAATAATCTGCGTCAGAACTTGTGAAGGTCTGAGCTCAGTCAGAGGCAGAGAAGGCACAGGAAAGTGGCAAGAGACCGAGGAGAGAGAGGCAACACAGTCTCCAGTGGGGCCCAGGGAATAAGGAGGAAGGGCCAACCGGGCATGACTCCTGGCTCTCTGTCTTCAGTAAACTGAGCTCAGTCTGGACGTTCACGACAGGAGAGGATGACTCGGGGGCAGCTAAAGCCATGGGTGTGGGCACAGCCACTCAGAGAGACTGCAGAGAGACACAGGCACTGGGGGGAGGCAGGCAGGAATGTTTAAGAATTAGAAGAGGAAATGAGCTCAGGAAAGAGATGGAGAAAGGGCTGAGAAGGCAACGGGACTGGGGACAGGGAACCTTCTGAGGAGTCTGAAGGCAGAGTGCTCCTGAGTGACATCCCTGCAGAGGAGGTGGTTAAGGGAAAGAGCAGAGTGTCCGCACTTATTAAAAACAAGGGCATGAGCAACAGCCGCATGAGTGTCTGAGATGAAGCTGCTCACCCAGTGGGTTACGACCACAGCCCAACGATAAACGGACCTCAGTGAATAAATGCACTTCACTGTGCAGATCCTTCATCCTTGCTGAGCCTCAGATGCCTCGGCTACAAAATGGGGAAGCAACTACCTCACGGCTGTCAGGGAGCCGGGTAAAACATCCAGGGCTAGGCCTGTTAGAACCATGCCTAGAACGCACCACTGCCACTTACCCTTCATTTTATACTTCAGAAGTTTGTACAAGTTACCTCGAGACAGCACCTATGGGTAGGTAAGGAAGCAACCTAACCCAACCCCAATCCAAGGCCACTTCCAGTCTGTTTGTTTTTTTCTCTTTCTGGACCATGGAATGAGGCAGGGGGAATAGAGGCAGTTCTTGGGCAAATGGGACGGACGATCTTGTAAAACACAAGGACAGCACCTAGTACCTTCCTTTCTAACATATAACTAGAACAAATCTCAAAGACTGCCTGCAGTGGGAAAACTGAGGCCCAGATCTAGAGAGATACACCATCCCTCCTAGAAAGAGAAACCAGTATAGTATTCTTTTCATTTTATCTATGGAGAAGACGAGTTTGGTGTGCTACAAAAGGTACTTTATGAGCGTTGTAATTGCTTTCTGACTCTATTGGAGCTCTGTTACCCCTATGAGGACCTTTCCCAAACCTGGGTTTGTAACACACTAGTCCAGAGAGATGCCTCAGCCAGGCTGGCTAGGGAAGCCCTTCACCCTGCCCAGTCCTTCCAGAGGCCCCGAGACGTCCTACACACACCACCCCTGCCCACCTGCGTGGCTCTCACCCGGGGCTGCCCACACTTAACTCCTTTTCCCTGGGCCACCCATCACGACACCCATCGGTGGGGAGTCCTGTCCACCAATACCTCCTCCAGCCTCTCATTCCCAAATTGCTACATTCATAAAATCAAGTTAAAGGGAAGGTTAGCGGCACTCTCGGGAATGAGTATTAGAAAGAAACATTTGGTTTGTATGTGAAAATGGACGTTCCCTCCTTTTTCTGCCTCGAGGTAACAGAGGCAAGGATGAGAGGCAGAGAGAGGCCTCAGGGGTAGGTATATGAATGTGAATGAACTCAGAACATTTTGGAAGTAGTGCAAGGTTCCCACCAGACGTTTTCCTTGTCTTCATCCCACTTCCTGTCTCTCCACTTCCCCAGTCCAGGCAATCAATCCACCGGCCTGTAGCAGGGGATGGGGGAGGCTCCATTTCCTAAGCTAGTTTCCAAACTTCTGCTTTTTAGGGTTTCACATCATTTTATTTTAAATTCGCGTTTCCCTAGTGACAGAATCTGGTTTCTTCCGGCACAGGTCTGGAGGCCTGCAAAAATATCAGTGTCTCTCCTCACTGGCCACAGGGGGGAGCCAGACCTCCTTTCTTCTTTTTTAAACTTCTTTAAATCATTTTATTTTTTTTAAATTACAGTTGACATACATATTATATCAGTTTCAGGCATACACCCCAGTGATTTGACATTATACAACTTACTAAGTTCTGAGAAATCTTATTCCCATTTGACACAATATATAGTTATTAGAATAGTGATTGTATTCCCATTGCTGCACTTCACATCCCCACGACTGCTCTGTAACTGCCAATCTGTGCTTCTCAATCCCTTCACCTTTTTCTCCCATCCCTCCCCTCCGGCAACCATCAGAATATTCTCTCAGTCTATGAGTCTGTCTCTGTTCTGCTTGCTCATTTATCTTTTTTTTTACTCATTTGTTGCTAGGTATGGATTTATTGCCATTTTATTGTTCATTTTTTAAATCTTTTTTCCTACTTCTTCTCCTTCTTCTTTTTCTTCTTCTTCTTTCTTCTTTCTTCTTCCTTCTTTCTTCCTCCTTCCTCCTCCTCCTCCTCGTTGTTGTTGTTATTCAAGAACAGCAAAAAGAAACCCTTTAACATTTCATGTAATACTGGTTTGGTGGTGATAAAAAAAGAACCAGTCAGAAATGAAGGATACACTAACTGAAATGAACAATAATTTACAGGGAATCAACAGCAGAGTAAATGAAGCCAAGAATCAAATCTGCTATTTGGAATATAAGGAAGCAAAAAAAAATACCCAATCAGAAGAGCAAGAAGAAAAGCAAAATCTAAAAAAAAGAGGGTAGTATAAGGAGCCTCTGGGGCAATTTCAAGCATACCAACATTTGCATCATGGGGGTGCTGGAATGAGAAGAAAGTATGAAATTTAAAACCCATTTAAAGCCCTGGCTGGTGTAGCTCAGTGGATTGAGCGCGGGCCTGCAAACCAAAGGGTTGCAGGTTCTATTGCCAGTTAGGGCACATGCCTGGGTTGCAGGCCACGTCCCCAGTAGGTGGTGCTCAAGAGGCAACCACATGATGTTTCTTTCTCCCTCTCTACTCCTCTCTCTAAAAATAAATAAATAAAATCTTTAAAAAAACCTATTTGAAAAAATAATGACAGAAAACTTCTCTAACCTAGTGAAGGAAATGTGCAGAGAATTCCAAATCAGATGGACCCAAAGAGGCCCACTTCAAGACACATCACAATTAAAATGCAGAAGGTTAAAGACAAAAAGAGAATCTTTTTTTAAATCTTCATCTAAGCACAGTTTTTTAATGGCTTTTTTAAAATTTATTTATCTTTAGAGAGGAAGAGAAGGAGAGAAATATCAATGTATGGTTGCCTCTCATGCGTCCCCTGCTGGGAACTGGCCCGCAACCCAAGCATGTGCCCTGACCGGGAATCGAACCGTGATCCTCTGGTTCGAAGACCCATGCTCAATCCACTGAGCTATACCAGCCAGGGCTAAGCAGTTTTTTTAAATAAAGATTTTATTTATTTATCTTCAGAGAGAGGGGAAGGGAGGAGAAAGAGAGGGAAAGAAACATCAATGCATGGTTTCCTCTCACATACCCCCTACTGGGGACCTGGCCTGCAACCCAGGCACGTGCCCTGACTGGGAATTGAACTGGCGACCCTTTGGTTTTCAGGCCTGCACTCAATCCACTGAGCTACACCAGCCAGGGCTTAAGCATAGTTTTTTATTATTGATTTCAGAGAGGGAGGAATGAGGGGATGGGAGAGAGAGATCAGTGCGAGAGAGAAACAGCCATCGGTTGGCTCTCATAAATGCCCCAACTGGGGATTGAACCCACAACCTTTTGGTGTACGGGACTGTGCTCTAACCAACTGAGCCACCTCACCTGACGAGATAAAGAGAGTTCTAAGACTATTAGCTAATTTCTCAACAGAAACTTCTGTAGGGATTAAACCAGAGGGATTAACAAAAAACATTCAAAGTGATAAAAAGCAAGGACCTACAACCAAGATTACTCTACCAGCAAAGCTATTGTTTAGAACTGAAGGACAGATACAGAGCTTCCCAGACAAGAAAAAGCTAAAGCTCAGACCTCCTTTCTTCTGAATATAAGGGTCCTGTGGGAGGGAAGGAAACCATGTGCTGCCAATATGTTTGACTGACTGAGTCATTCGATCATAGTGACTATTCCAAACCATGGCTCACATACGATGAAAGTTAGCTTCTTTTGCTTAAAATAGCTGCAACCCATACATGGACTTGAAAAATATGCATCTGATCTGCGCGTTTTTGTGGAAGAGTGTGTCTGCTGAGGAATAGTGACCATTTTTTTTTAACAGAAACCAAAACCATATTCTAATGAGTGGTTTAAGTCAGTTACTAGAACTTCGAAACCAAAACTTCAAAATCATCAGGGCATAGAACTGAAGCAACAGGCTACAACCTGAATCTAGTTTTAAAGTGATCTAACCTAGTTAGGAACCACAGGTATCTTACATTTAATTTTGTCCTGATAACCTGGTCAAAGGCAAGTCCAGTTAAACAAAACTTATAAATTAATAAATACTGACCATCCATCATAACATCACCCCAAACCCTCCAGGAGAATAGGCTGTGTGTATGTGTAGTTCCACTTAAACTGTGGATCAAGGGGTGTTTTCTGAGTCGTGACTGAGTAAGCGACCTGGTGCTTGTACAGGCTGTTCTCTGGGCTCTGAAGTCCCGATCTCTCCCCACTGTCCAGGGCTCAGATCAACGCACACCTTCTTCAAGGACCACTGCTAGGTTTTACTTCTCACTCTGCCCCAGTCCGAATTGACCTTTGCTTTCTGCACCTTCATGCCTTTTTGTATTTCTAACACTTAATGCCATCCGCAACACATTAGAGATTTGATAAGCATGTCTAATGCCCTGACAAAGGCGTTTTCTTTCTTTTCCAGAATGCCTAGCAATGACTACATACCAACTTTATTGTTTTTCTTGATTTTAGAGAGAGGAAGGGAGGACGGAAAGAAAGAGAGAGATGTGAGAGAGAAACATAGACTGGCTGCCTCCCTTATGTGCCCTGACTGGGCATCGAGCCCACGCCCTGTTGGTGGACAGGGCAGTGCTCCAACCAACTGAGCCACCCTGCTAGGGCTAAGTGCCAAATCTTGTTCCCAGTGCTTTGCTTTACATTCTAACTCATTTGATATACAACCTACTGGGAAGTAAGTACTGTTATTGCCCTCATTTTGAAGAGAAAAATAATGAGACAGAGAGGTTCCCTAATTCGTCCAAGTTCACAGGCACAGTAAACAGAACCAAGACCCAAACCCGGGCAGTCTGGCTGCCAAGGCTCTGCCCCTGACCACTGGGCAGGCTGCCTCTCCTAAGAGGGGCCCAATCAATATTCGCTGAACTAAACAAAGACACAAAGCTTTTGGAGATGCTTTAAAGAATCTAATGCTCAAGATGTGGTTTTCTGGAGTCCTTTCTTCCTATCACCACCCAAACGAACCATCTAAACACCTGAATCCTAAAATAAAACACTAAAAATCATCCAAATCCACAATGGGCAAGCATATAACATACTCACCAGATCCAGATATGGTTAAGTCTTTACATTCTTCAATGTTAGCATTGCTGTCAAAATAGATTTTGATTTTGCCGCTGTGAGCTTTGTTGTCGAAGGTGATCTGGAGACACAAATGTACAGAGAGCAGAAAGTGTGATTGCTAGACGGACGCTGCTTAAAATTTCAATGGCATCCAAACAGAATCTACTCCAAAAATTGTATTGATGAAAACGTCCTCATCACATGAATCCTTCGCCATTTTTATTTATGAAAAAATACAGTCCACACACTGAACGTATTAAGTTCTACTAAATACACAGGCAGATTCAGAGAAATGCCAAAGCAAAACAGCCAACCAGTCCCAGGAACAAACATGGGATTCGCCGGTCTTTGACAAGAGATCACAGTGACCTCACTGTTTACACAGAATGGAATTTAAAAGCACTTGCTTCCACTTAGCCCTTTGGGTATGAAATTCTAGATTTTTATTAGGTTGGAGATTATTTTTCTGTTTGCCTCAAGTGCTACATATAATGCTTTCAGAAATGGCAAAGATTACTCCAATGCTGCCGGTTGAATTAAGATTTCTAAATATCCCCAATCTTCCGCATTACATTTCTATCACTTAAAATTTGTGAGTGAAATATGCTGAGTATTTTAGACCTTGAGGGAAGTATTTTAGGTATTTTCCTTGGGGAAAATGAGGCCTTGAGTGCCAGGCTTAGTGGAGGTTCAGTCATATAGCCCATAGGTATAGAAAGGAGGCTTGCAGGCTGAATTCTTGAAGCTCTGGTTTGGTCATAGTGAGATTCTTGGATTACACAGAGTGTGGCTTGTGTCCAGAGATGCTCCAATGCTTGCGGATTTAATCATAGATCAGCTACGCTTTCAGCTCTCAAGGTCTTTGCCTGTGATTTTTTTTTAAATTTTTCAATGTGTTTTGTAATATGTAGGTCACTCCAGGGCAGTGAATCATGGTCTTCTCTGCCAGAGACATTCTTCCTTACCACCAGTCACAAGTAATCATCACTTTTATTTCTTTGTTCACTTGCTTTTCTGTCTACCTCTTCCACTAAGCTGTAAGCTGCCAGTGCACCTCCAGAGCATGGCAATGTCTGGTGCACAGTAGGGGTTCGTTAGCATTTACTGACTGTTGCATAAAGCACTCTTCTGAGTTGCTAAGACAATTATATACAACTTTCAGCTCAGCATCCATTTTGCTCTTCCATAAACATGAAGGAGGGAAGAAAAGAGGGAAGGAAGGAAGGGTATGAAATTTCACGAAAGTGAGAAGACAGGTTACTCTCCCCACAAAAGTGAACGGTCTCTTCTATTGCACACGCCTCCTCCTGAAATGAAAAAGGCAACAACTGGTCCTTTGCGGAACGGCCTTCCGCCTTCAGAACGAGGGGGCCGTTCCTGCCTGCAGGTTTGAAGGCATTTGCTATGTTTGTGAAGACCTTCCTCTGAAAGTGGGAAAAACATGATGGACACTGAAAACAATCATCATAAACTTTTAAAAAATGTATTAGAAGAGTAAAAGGTCAAAGTCAGTTTTGAAAACTTATCTTTTCAACTGAGAAATTTAGTTTTTGAAAACTTAGAAAGGGCTTGCTTCATTTTCAGGAGTAATCATCACTGGATCAGCAATGGGTTTAAAACACAACTACATCTAGCACATGCATAGGCTGGTGTGTTTTCCACTCCACATCTACAGAAGGAGGAGAGAAAAATGATTAAAAAAAAGCGGCTCAGTAAAATAGACACTTGCCGTATTCTGAAAGTCATAACAGTCTGGTAACTCTCGGGACAGAATCGTCTGCAGGTCGATGCCTTTGAGGTGAAAGGAGATTTCAACTTGCAAGAGCCTGAAGGAAAAATAATACAAGGTGTAAAATGTCAGAATCTTACCGTCTACTCTCCTTTCCTCCTCCCTGTCTCCTGGGAAATGAAACTTAAAATCTTATTTACCTATAAAACTCCAGTCTGAAGAATGATGAGTTCCTCCAGCCCGGAGGGTTCTTGGAGAAGGCCTGGAGGTCCAAGAGAAGGCAGTCTGGGCCAACGAAGAACAACACTGTTTCAAGCAGGAATCAGATGCGAAACCCAGAGGGCTGAAGCGTAATGAGGGCAGCACACTTCCAAAGCATCTCCCCACAGAATACTTATGGATCACACCAGGAAGACCAGGTGCTTCACAGTGGAGAGGCTGGCGGGTAGCAGTGCCCTGCCCAAGTGATCGCAGTTAACATCGCCAGTAATGAGACGCAGAGGCATCGTATACCTCCTGAAATCGTGGACTGCTTGTGTGGTTTTCCCACCAAAAGGCACACCCCCAATCCAGTCACAAAAAAAAACCAAAAAACAGAAAAACCCAAAGTGGGGGACATTTCACTCTTTAAAATGTCAAGGTCATAAAAATAAAAACAAACAAAAAATCCCAACAACAAACCAAGGAACGATTTTGCTCCTGACTAAAGGAGACTAAAGAGGCACAACAATATGTGATCCTGGACCAAGGAGGTTGCAGGGAGAGGGGGGCTTTCTTTTGCCAAAGAGAATATTAGGACAATTGATGAAATGTGAGTAGGGTTTTAGATGACAATATTGTACCAACATTTATTTGCCCCTAGGAGCACTGCACAGTGCTTATGCACGAGGCCATTCTTGAGACATGCACACTGGAGTGTTTACAGGTAAGGCGACAACATTTACAGGTAACGGGTCACCCTCTTGTTCTTATACATTGCAGGAGGAATATTTAAACATAGGAAGAGAGAGAAAGCCAACATGGTAAGATGTTACCATTTGGGAAATCTAGATGAAAGGTATACAAGGAAATCTTTGTGCTGTTTTACAACTTTTCTGTGTTGTCTGAAACTTTTTCAAAAGAAAAAATACAGAGAAAGGAAAGGAACTTAGGTTGTATTCAAATAAAAACAAACTGTAACCTCTGAACGATAAAAGAATGATTCCAAGAGCCTCATGTAAAAATCCATCTCGTGACTGGCCAGCCCCACAGCCTGGCAGGTCTGGAGCTGGCAGGAGCCTTTCGGGGCCACGGGACCCTCACAGGCAGGGCAGCTGCACAGCCCACCCCACTGCCTTTATCCTCCAGGGAGCGCCCTCGCCTGGTTCTCAGGAGGTGCTCCAGAATCTTGCTAGACTCAACGGCCAATTCTTTAAGAGTCTTCTCCCACAAATGCAATTCTTTATTTGTTCATCTATCCCCTCCACTAGAGGATAAGATCTTTGCAAGCAAGAGCACACTCTGCTGGGTGGTTAACTGATTGCCTAGCACGCAGCTGACACCCAGAACATGTCCTGATATACAGGATACACACATTTTGTGAAAAATTATGTTTCCTGGGCCAAAAACAAAGCCATGAGCTGAGTGAACAACTCAACAGGCACAATATTTAAGAAAAGTAGGTGTCAGGGCTGGGAAGTGTCTCCCTGTGTTTAGCAAATAGTTGATGTCAAGAACCAGTGTAACACTGGTGTTCTTGACTAGATCTTGATGAATATGGTAAGGGCAGTTAGTCAAAAGAAACTCGATCTCTACAGGCAAAGACTGATGATGATAACAATAGCAAAAAATATATCAGGCACTGTGCTAGGGGTTTTATATGTTCTCTCATTTAATGCATCATCCTGTGTAATCCCCAAAGCAACCTTGTAAGATAGGTACTATTGCTGCAATTTTACAGATGGGCAAACTAAAAAACAGAGAGGCCCAGAGACTTCCTCAAGGGCACACAGCTAGCTGGAGGCAAACCAGCATTGAAATCCATGTGTTCAGTTCCCGAGCCTGAGCGCTTCACCAGTAGATGGATGAGGCGATCTGTGAGTATCTATTTCAAAAGAACGTCAAAAGACCCAGGTTGCCTACCCAAATCATTCATTTACTCAATAAATATTTGCTGAAAGCCTTTATGCATCAACCACCGTGCAAGGCACTGAAGGTAAGGCAGTGAATAAGACAGATAACTTCTGTGAGGAGCTCACGTTCTAGTGGAGAAGATAAACCAAGAGTGAAAAATACACACAAGATGATTTCACAGTGTGAGAAGAACTGCAAAGACAAAGCAAAATGATGGAGAATAACCGGGAGGAGTGGCTGGGGAAGGGCGCTGAGGTACTGGGGACATGTCAATGGACAACTGTGGGAGGAAGGAGAAACAGCTGCGTATAAATCTGGCCCAGAGGTGGGGGTGCTCTGGGTAGCACAAAAGCAAGCACTAAATCTCCCAGGCAAGAAAGAGCTTGGCTTGTTCACCAAAAAAGGATGTTAGGACAGGGGAAAGGGGATGGGAATGAGGGGCTTTGGAGAGGCAGGTGGGTGGACAGCTCCTATAGGGACTCATGAGTTTCATTCCAAATGAAACGGGAAGCCACTCATGTTATTTAAACCAGGGACTGATATGACTCGATTTACATATTTTTCTGATTGTTGTGGGACAGGGCAGGGGAGAGAAGAGGCAAAACGTGAAACAGGGAGAACAGTCTAAAGAAGAGATGATGCTGGTTTGGACTATAGCAATGACGATGGAGATGAAGATCAAGTCTGGGGCTTGAGTGATGGCATTATTCTAGCATGGTAGGAAAACACTGGCATCGTTTTCTGAAATGGGAGACTACAACACATGCTGGGCCAGGGGCAGGGAATGGGGGAGGCTTGAAATGCTGTGCTTTGGATGAACATGCTTGAAATCCCTGTTAGAGCCACAGTGGGGCTGTCAAGTAGCCAATCAAATACAAGAATTTAAAGCTTGGAAGAATTCAGCTCAGAGATGTAAGTCTGGGTGAGAGGAAAGGAGCAGCAAGACTTCTCAGAAGCTATGCAGCCTCCCCTCCCCTCTGTTGTTCGTTTGTTTATCTGTTTGTTCTATAACATAGGGACGCTGTGCCAGGAGCTTTGGAGACGTGGCGGCAAGATGAGCATGTTCTGCTCTGGCGAGCTTCCCCTGGCAGCATCAGCTGCTGGAGCCTTAGGGCACAGGTACGGATGGAGCAGCCTCATGCTGGATGAGAAGGCCCAGATGAGAAGGGAGACAGCAGCCTTGTAAGGGAGTGGCACTGACGGACAGAGGTCTCTAACCTGGATACTAGAGGCACTGAGGCAGGTGGAGATGGACCGGGGTGGGGGGGGTCAGTAAAGGAGAGGTCTGTGCCAGGTCAAACACCCTCACTGGAGAGTGGTGAACCAGTGCTTCCAAAGTTTAACGTACACATGAATCATGTAGGGATCTTGTTAAGATGCAAATCTGGACTCAACAGCACTACAGTGGGGCCTGAGATTCTCTGTTTGTCACAAGCAACCAAGTGATGCCCAGGTTGCTGGGCTTGGAGGGGCACAGACCTGCCATCACTAAGTCATTACAGTGACCTTGACTTAGTCACCCAGCCAGACTGAGCACCAGATTCCTCAATGCAAAATGAAGGCCAACTGACTGTTCCTCTAACATTCGTATTCTAAGGTGAAGTAAACAAAGAAAACCAAAAAAACATTTAAATTAAAGTAAATTAAAATCACTCTATTCTGAAGGAAGTAACCTGTTCAAAATCCATGTGCTAAATACTGTTCTAGGTCTTTTTTCTCTTGTATTTTATTCATTATGTTTATTTTTTCACTTTTAAACATCTCTAAAACCGATTAGTCTTTTAAAAAATTGATGACATCTTAGATTTAGAGAAATATGACATTTACTAGTTAATTTTACACTACATGTAAAATTAGCCTTATACAAGCTTATTTGGTTAGTTGAGTTCTGCATTGTAACCATAGAAAAACACTGTCCAATACCCATGCAGAACTCTCTACAGCACAGGTGGCAGACACAAGGCCTGTGGGCCAAATCCAGCCCTCCACCTTGTTTTACATGGCCCGGCACCTGTTTATACCCGGCAGCAGCGTCAAACTCCTCGCCCCTAGTTAAGGAGTAGTTACATGTATACAGTCCTAAAATGACATTCAGCCCTTTGAAGGCAACCACGAGGCTGCTGTGGCCCCCAGTGAAACTGAGTTTGACACCCCTGCTCTAAAGTCTGGCTGACCTTATACTAGAGTCGTTGCTAACAAGGACAGCAGGAACCTGGTGTAGCAAAGACTAAGAACTGAGACGTTAAAAGAATGGCAAAGCCCTAGCCAAAACATCAAACCTCTAACAGAACAAACTAGTACTAGAGTAGCAGACTCATCATTCCCACAGATCTCATTCACAGAACAGAATACTCCAGTAAATGAAATAGCAACTCTCTAGAGACCAATGGAGGGAAGACTACATATGTTTTTTTTTTAATGCTGGAAGAATAATGAAATGGTCATAATGTTTTGTGCTAAAAGAGAAAATGAAACACTATATTAGAATAATAACTATTTAAATATATTTTTAATTTGTAAACAGGATTTATAACAGTCCCACAGGTAAGGCTGAACAGCAAAGCCACAAGTCCAGAGGCAGGACTACAGAGATGGCCCACAGCACGAATTCAAGGAAACCCTGAACTCAAAGTGCACGGTCATGTAACTAAGTATTAACCTGCAGAGCGAGCGGGCACACAGGCAGATCTCTGCATTTAGCCCAGTGAAGGATGATTCTCTTCATAGGAAAGATAATGCAGATTCATGAAGTAGAACAGCTTCTGCTAATTGACCTATTGTATTGCCAAGACATCTTAAAATCAGATCACAGTTTCTTATGGCCAAACGAATGGTATGATGCTTTTATTTGCATGAAACCACTCTACATTTAAACTGCTACTAGCATCCCTACTCCCAAACTGTTATCTATCTGAGAAGCTGTGACTGACGAATCTTTGCCACCCCAGTACATTGCACACACATTATCACAGGGTCACATTCCGAGAGATGTGTGAGGCGATTTCATCATTGTGTGACATCACAGAGTGCGCTTACACAAACCCAGGTGGGCAAACCGGGATGGCACAGCCCCCCACACACCAAGGCTCTGAGGTACCGCTCACCGCTCTGCAGGAGAGGGAAACAGTTTTCCCTCTGCCCTTCCACTTCTTGGCGGAGACATCCCTGGAATAAGACACAGACTGACAAGAAAAACAAAAGGGTAACAACATGTACACCTGCTGTATACAGAGACCCAGGAAAACTGAAGCCAACACCTTAAATACCATCTTCAGCTGAAGACAAAAGATGTTGGGGTGGGGAGAATCAGCTAAGGGAGGTGACCAGGGAAAGCACAGAAAACAGGAGCCTATAGAGATAAGGTCAACCCGTTCTTGCTGGCTCAGCCAGGGAGACACTCTTACAAATGGGGTGTCTTTTACAAAGAGGATCTTCTACTTGGTTTTCAGAGCTTCTTCCATGTTTGCTGTTTCTCAAATTAACCAGCCTAAAATAATCCTTATGCCAGATAGACATATTTTGGGGTGACAAATTGTCACCCCAGTTTCTAGGCTACATACAAACCTGTGTCGTGTTAATGTACTAAATATTGTAGGCAATTGTAACAATGGCATCTGTGTAATGCACTGCACTATGACATCACTAGGCCACAGGAATTTTTCAGCTCCATTGTAATCTGCCGACACCACCGTGGTCTGTGTGGTCTGTCACTGGCTGTCAGTCATGCCACACATGACTACAGAAACAGCCAGTGCTTTGGGAATGGTAGGTGTGCACCAGAGGTTTGCTGAGCAAAAGACGGAACTCCCAGAGCCTCAAGTTGAACACTTTGCATTTACATAAGGCCGTCTTTTAAACTGAAATCAGAACAGCACAAAACAATTCCGCTTGTTTAGATGTTAGCTTTCTGCCAAGCAATATCCTAAAAGAAGAAATAAGCTACTAGTCACAACTTGCCTTTGAAGAGCATTAATATATTTTGCAAATAATAAAAACAAGAATACAAAGCATTTTAACACACATTATCCATTTAATAAATACAGACTCATTTTTTCCCAAAAAGTCTAATTGTCCTTTCATGGAAGAGGCGAGACAGGATAGCAGGAAGCTAGGAAAACTCCTTGGTGAGTGGAATAGGGAAACTGAGAAAGATGGCTGAACACAGTGGGGGAGCAATTTACAGCCAGGTGCAGATGGTCACCAGGGGAAGGGCCCCCAGTTCTTGGCAAGGGGCAAAACTGGAAAAATAAGGACCTCACCCCCAAGGTAACCTCTCCTCCTCTGGCCTTTCCTCTCTAGAGATCACATCCAGGCACCAGAACCAACTGCGATGACTGAAGAGCCCCTGCCCTCTCACTGACCAATCAGGGGAGACCATGACCCTGAGGGCGCACCTAGAGAACAGATGACTGTTCAGCTGAAACCCTCCCCTAAGACCTGCCCTAAGATGCCCTCCTGCAAGAGATAAAGGCCTCAGGACAAAGGACCCAGTGCACACCCTCTCCCTCAGGGGAGCAGCCACACCATCCCCTTTCTCTCTCTTCTTTCCCCAAAGGCAGGGCATCTCCTAACCTCTAAGGGACCCTGAGAGGTACAGTCAGCAGTCAGGGGAGCAGTGGACAGGGGCAGCTTGTCCCAGGTTGACCTCCTGAACTGTCCCCAAGACCCCTTTTCTCTGACTTCCCAGTGAGCTGAGGCAGCCCAGCCTGGGCTCTCCTGTCACTTCTTCTGTGCTAAGCCCTTCCTAGTTTCACTGTCCCAGCTTCGATAAATGTACCCTCACAGTCACATGGACTCATGGTGAAATCTTTTCCACACAAAGTCAAGAACCCACATACAACAGCGGCCCCTGGGCAGACCCGCTCAGGGCCAGGTGCCCTGTTCAGTAACAAAGGGACAAAGCAAAACAAACAGGAAACATCTGGGCATCTACCCCCAAACTAACAGCCTTGAGCTGCACCTAAAAGATCTGCAGATTCCCGGGTCCTACTACCATAGCCCTGTATTTTCCTGAGCCAAATCCTTTGTAGGCAAATCCTTTGCCATGACAGCTTCAAATAGGTTAGTAGTCACAAACACACAGAGTTGTTCATCTGCCAGCACATGAGGGCATTTTTGCTCTTACCACAGAAGAAGAAATAGGCATGTAATAAAATGACCCATCACCTGCTTCAATGTTGCTGTCAATATTCAGTGTCTCGTTAGAAGGAAACATGGTCCCTGTCTTGTAGTGCTGCTTACAGACTTTTAGGCCAATTCTGTTTTCTTCATTTTCTCCATAGCTCAGGGTCCCCAGGGATATGTTCTTTAGACGATGGTACTATTAAAAATAGTTAAACAAAAACAGTTAGGAGCTTCCAAGAATTTCACCAGTAGTTACAGCATATAAAATATCCTTTAACTCTTTTTTACTGTTTGTATCATATCACTCAACAGAACTCCCCAGTGTAAAAATACCAGAAGGCAGTTTCCTCCCTTGGGCAGAAACATACCGCCTCTCAGAAGTCAAAACTCAAGTGACCATGTGGACAGACCTCCCACCTCGCTCCAAGCCAGAGCTCAGGTCCTGCCCACCTCTCTGACCCCTTGGCAGACTTCCGGCCCGTGGCTCCACCTCCACTTCCTGTAGCCGCACCGGCCTCCTGGCAGTTCCTGGAGCTCCCCGGGCACACTCCTGCTTGTAGCCTTGGCTGTTCCCTCTGCCCAGATCCCAGGCTTTCTATCTGCCAGGGTTGTTGCCTCAGGTCCGTGAGGCCCCCGCTCACTGTGCAGGGGAACCACACACAGCCATCACCAGCGCTCAGGCACCACCAGGCCCCTCCAGGCCCCCCCTCCCCCACCCACACTGCCACCCAGCAGTTACCACTTTCTGACACACCACCCATGCCCACACCTTCTGCAGCCCCCAGCTTTCACTAACACTTGGATTAGCGTGACTTCACCAGTGGCCTCTCTGCATTGACAGGGCTTTACTGGACCCCATCTCCACTAATTTGACTTTGTTAGTCCAGGAAACATTTGCCCAGAAACAGCAAAGTTGCAAATAACTATATTGTTTATTTCAGGAACACCCAAAATATCATTTAAACAGTTGGAAGACTTAGTCTGGTAACTCTAAGACTCTTTGAAAACCACCCCCAGCCCGCACCTGGCTACGTCCACCAACCCTCAGCTGTTATACCACCATCTGCACCCGATTTCTGTCAAGCTCCCACGCATTGAAAGACAGCCCCTGCTCCTTAAATCGGACTTCAGAATCCAAGTCTGGACTTGGCCCCCTTCACCCAAGGCACAACTGAGAACAGTCAAAACAGCGCCTCCCTTACTGCTCTAAGCAATAGGCTCAGTTTTTATTATCAGTGTATTTTTTTGGTGGTGTTTTCACTTAATACTGTACATTTCACTTCTTTTCATTTGTCTGGCTCTCCCCTCTAGAATTAAGTTCTACAACAACAGGATTTTGTCCTTTCTTCAGGGTGTATTCCCAGTGTTTGGAAAAGTATCCGGCACATACTACGTACCCAAATATTTATTGAATTGGATGAATGAATGAATGAAAATTACAGAAGGAATAAGAATAACAATTTTTCTCCCCTAAATGCTTTCTTCGGGCCTACCAATGTGGTTTCTCCACACCTGCCTAGACTCAGGTATATCATGTCCTACTCCACAGTCTCAAGATTCAGCTAGGCTTGTTTAGGCTGAGACAGCAAAGTTGTGACCCTGGAATCTCAGATCTGATTTCTCATTCGTCAAACCTTTTGAAATTATAGATCTGCTCTTGGCTATTTGATCTGGCCAAGAGCCTGGCCATGGTTATTGTAATCTCTCAAAAGCAGTGGGTGTGAAAGGATAAACAAAAAGCGTAACTCTTAATAAAAATGTTAAATATACAAAATCTGTTGTGAGGAAATGTAGCTACAGAAATAACAATAAATAGTTCTTGGCAGACTATGCAAGTTTTAATTAGAATATTTTAATATATGCATAATTTTCTTTTTTGGCTAAGAAAACACGATCAAGTGTCAATACATTCTTCAAATATAGGTCATTCACAACAAAAAACTTGCCTGATTAATAGCATAAAATATGCTCTCATAGGCATCCTCTTGAGTGTATACACTGCAACTGTAGTTATCTTCGTCTACGCCAGAATATCCTTTCAAAAACAAGTACTTAAAAGCGACAGTGTTTTCTTCCTTGAAAGCAACCACGAGCTGGTTACTTAAACCAAAACGAACAAGCTAGAAAAGACAATCAAATAGACATATATGAATTTTACCATTTATATGCCTTCTTCTTGCCCTGGTTGGTATGGCTCAGTTGGTTGGGCATCATCCCACAAACTGAACAGTCCTGGGTTTGATTCCTGGTCAAGGCACAAGCCTAGATTGCAGGTTGGGTCCCGATCAGAGTACGTACGAAAGGCAAATGATAGGTGTTTCTCTCTTACGTGAATGTTTCTCTCCCTCTCTTCCTCCCTAACTTCTCCTCTCTAAAATACATAAGCATGCTCTCCAGTGAGGCTTTTAAAAATTAATTAATTAATTAATTAATGAAATGCCTTCTCATCATCAGCTCTCACCTATAAACATCAGAAAGAAAAATCTCACTGCTTTGGTTTTTACTAATTATATCAATGTTAAAATATAAGTCCCAAAGAAGAATAAGCTAATTAAGCTAAATGAGCATTTCTACATAGCATAAAATTAGAAGAAATTATCACTCTCAGTGACTAACTGGCCTGCTGGCTTTTAATGAAGGAGAAGAAAAAAGAAAAGAAATCCAAATCAGTTAAGTCTGAATCCACTTTTCTTATACTTGGGTTTCAAATTAATTGTTTTAAAAATTGGTGTAATTAGTAAAGCAATAATTCATGTTGTACTGACTTAACATTCAGAAAGTAGAACTATTTTTAAAATCACAACTATCTTTTGCGTGTGGCTTTTAAGAATGTTTTTGAAAAGTGGCCTACATAAACTCACTCCAGCTAAGAGCAGATAGTTGTCAAAGGAATTCAGGTGCTCCGGTTCTGTGGGAACTCTTCTGGAAGACTTACACCTCCAAGATCCCTCTCCAAGATCTATGGCATCCGAGCAGCAGAAAGGACAGCCGGCCCCGCTTTACCTCTCCAATGTTAACACCGTTCATTGTCATCCGCCTTCTGCGGGTGAAACTCCTACTCATTCTCCCTCACACTGCATCCTAGCATGGTCGGGCTCTCTCCATCCGGAGTGAAAAGTATCCCTTCCGCCCCCAGTTTTTTTCTTGGAATCCAGTAAGTGGGGGAAATTAGCAAGCACTAAAGGTTTACAAAAAAAAAAGAACAAACAAACCCTCAGGAATCACACACAGCTAGACTTTCTCAATCACTCTCTCACATGCACACTTACACTCACACACTGTCACACACACACTGCCTAACACATTCTCATGTACATACACTTACACACACTGTCACACACCTGCACAAACACAGGGCCCCTCCCTCTCCCTCTCTCATTCTCTGTCTCTCCCTTACACACACACACACACACACACACACACACACACACACACACACAGTGATGGAACAGAATCAAACCCTAACAAGCCCTGACCGCCTCTCTTTCACCACCTCCCCACTTCATTTTCTCACCTGCTTGCATATAATTTTTAGCCAATTTAAGTTTTGTCTGACTTTTTAAAAAGGCTAACTAATGAATAACAATAGCTACCATTCTACTGCAGGGGCTACACTAACTGCTTTACATGCATTCCCTCAGTTACTAACATAACAACCCTATGAAACTATTACAACTGTGTATCCCCACTTTTTCAATGTAGAAACTGAGATTTAGCCTCATTAATCCATCCTAAATCTCCAAACTGTTGTAGAACAAAAGCCAAACCTAACTTCAAAGTCATTTTTATTGTGCTATGCTATTTCCTTCTGTTGAAAATTTTGTCTTTAAGGCTCTTATTGCAGAAAAGAATTAGGTGCCAGCTTTCCAGAATTGCAAAGATTGTTTTAGGATGTTCATAGATGACACTGGTTAGTGCCTGAGCCTTGAGAGGTCACATTCCTCAAATACCACATCAGAGCATGGAGCCATTGCTAAAACCCAGCTATTTTAAGAAAAGTATGGAGATAAGAAGTCCCACATCATCCAACATGTGCTGGAAATCAAACAACAGAAGCTGAAGTCTTTGCAAGAATGTGATGTTTGCCCACAGTGCCTGTCAGGGCAGCAGAAAAGTCCTGCTGTGTTTCGAAGGCTATGAAAGGAACCAGAGAACCAACACATGCGATCACTTCAAGGATTGTTCAAACTACTGACATGCGCATGAAAAAACCTGGTACACACACGGGGATGAACTTTGTCGAGTGCCTACGCTATGCCAAACCAGGGTACAATGCGGGCAAGATCGGCCCTGCGTGGTGTGGAATAACAACTCTCAGCTCCTGAGTGCCAGGCACTGTGCCTAAAATTTGTAATTTCTGTTTTTCATTTAATTCCCCAACACTCTATGAGGGATATATGACATTGGGAACCACAAGAACAGGATATTATTCTTTTTTCCCAACTCATACGTATTCAGGAACTGGAATAGTGTCCACCACAATGTCAGGGTCAAGCCCTGAATTCACTGATGAATATACTCTCATGTTATGCTTGTGTAAACTGAAGTCACACAGTGTATACAGGTTGGGACAGCAAGAAAGTGTCCGAGTGAGGACCCAAACAGGTCTGTGTGACTCACCTGTTCATTCTCTTGGCCACTTGTTTACACTGCCTCTCAAACTTAAATGCTGCCCACTTAACTCTAGAAGCAGTTTTAGGAGGCCTGTTCCCACCATGCTCGAGTGAAGCTAAACAAACACACATACACAGTCTAAAGGGGGATGGATAACTTGACCAGGAATATGACTCACAATGTGCCGGTATTTTAAGGCACCATCTTATTTAAACTCAATGCTCATCAACTCCCCTTTGGGAATGAGAGAACTGGAGGTGTGATCCTGCTTGGAACCACGCCCATCTGGCATCAGGAACAAGACAGTTCCTCCATTCTACTGTTCACAGAACAAGCCGAGACCCACATGTCCAGCCTAGCATCAGGTAAGGGTTGGGACTTTCAAAGCTGCTCTCAGTGAAGGAGAAAAACCATGAAGAGGAGACTGTGAAGTCCCCTTCCTGCTGTGGCAAAACCAAACACTTCCCACAGAACAAGAGTAAGGAGATGATAGGATTGGGCAAAAAGGTTTTTAAAAAAGAAGTTGACAGAAAAATGCATCTTATCCCCACTAACTAGATCCTAAGGTTTGCTGAGAATATAGGACAGAAAAATAATTGCACCGTTAAGTAGAGCTGGCAAAGATTGTGAATTTAAGATCTGAGTATGAAATCAATCAGCATAAAAGAAAATATTCTGTACTAGATAAAAACAAGATACTACTTTAATGGTGTACAAAGAACATGGGAGGGAAATAGTAGAACTAGCGAAAGAATGTAGACACCCCTCTCAAGAGTATAAAGTACCGCAGAATGAAAGTAGAAATGTCTAACAAAAGTTTCCTTCTCAGTGACCCTGATAAAATGCCATCCATCCCACTAGCGTTGAGGGTGGAGTGCTAAGAGAGAGACTGCAAAAGGAGAGGAGGGGGAAATGGGATTTAAAGAAAGAAAATGTGTTCAAGAAATCTGCTCCAATTAGATATCACTCAAGTAGCAAACCTTATTAGCATGATCCTGCAGGTGAACAAAAGTTTAATAACTCTCCTGCATTTTGTTAGGGGAAGCAGGGTACACCTGCACACAAAGTGAATGATCAATTCTAAGCAATAATTTATTAAAAGTGAAATGAGTGAGGTGCACCAGGGGTACTAGGGTATGAAAGAAAACCATGTGCTGAGTGGTCATGTGCAAAATTGGTGGGGGAGATGGACTTCAAATAGTGCCTGCAAGATGAGTCCCTGGCTGGTGTGACTTAGCGAGCATCATCAGGACCCTTGGTTGGAGCATCATCTCGTACACAAAAAGTTGAGGGTTCAGTTCCCGGTCAGGGCACATAGTGGGTTGTGGGTTTGACCCCTGGCCAAGGTGCATATGGGAGACAATCAATTGGTGTTTCTCACATGGATGTTTCTCTCTCTCTCTCTCAAATCAATAAACATATTTTTTAAATAAAAATAGTGCCTGCAAGACGAGGGAGATACAAGAACCCCTCTGGACTTGGTGGAACAGAGTAGGTAACACTGGGTGGAGCCACCTGGTCAGGATTCAGGGATGAAATGATAGATGAACACTTGTTGTGAAGGCAAGTGGAAGGGGGCTGCGGACATCCATGAACACTGGGCTACGGAGCCATGAGTTTCTTCTGCGGGAAATGGGGTCCTACAGAAGTTTCTGAGCAGGAGACCAACACATGAAGGCAGGCTAAGAAAATTAAACCAACGGTCACATGGACTAGACTGGTCTGTCTGTGGATAACAAAGGTAGGCATAAGCTGAAGACTAGAAGTAGCCTAATTAACTTCTCTATATTACTAGACTGCAAGCTCTGAGGACCTATATCAATAAAAGTGTGGAGTCCAGATCTAGACAGGTGGGGCCCAAATTCCAGCTCTCCCACTTACTAACTGACTGTTCGTAAGCAAATTACTTCACTCTCTCTGGCCCAGTTTCTTTATCCATGAAAGGGGGTAATAACTGGACCTACCTAACAGATTTGCAGGAAGGATGAAACTGAGCGAACATACAGAAAGCACTTACTGTGCCTGGCACATGGTAAACGCTATTCCAGTCATTGGGTTAGCTGCCCAAAGCAGTAGTATATCTACAACTGGATGAACAACAGAATGCATGGCGCACAAGGTGCTTCATACATATTTTTAATTAACTAATGAAATCAAAGTCTGCACTAGGAAGAAAACAATGAGTATGGCAAAACATGAGTAGATGCAGTTTTGAAGGAAGAACCCACAAGACTTAGTAGATATCAGGACAAAGAAGACAAGTTCAAGGATAGTGATAATGTTTTATGCCTTGATAAGATAGAATTTTAGTAACATTATCAGATCAAAAAACTGAAAGGAAAGCTAGTTTAGCAAGAGAAGAAATTGGGAAACAATTAAAATTAACCAAATAACAAAAGGGGATATTACTATTTCTCCTTTTTTTCAAGTAATACTAACAATGTGCCTACTTTATAGGTTACCAAAATAAAAACTTCAAAACAAAGAATTAAAATGAAAAAAAACAGAAAAGAAGAAAAAAGCTAGCCATATACATTTAACCATAGCCTTGCATCTCAACCTTGTTTTCTTTGAAGTAACTTGGTTACCCTCAAACTTGGCGAGCTGGTATAGCATGTCACATAATAAAAAGACTCTTTATGAATGTAGAATAAAGATGCAACTTCAGTTATGGCAGAAATCTCCTCTTGCTTCTAAAACTATATAGAGCTGTTTTTAGAAAGGTATTTATTTGGGGGTTCCAGAAATAACATCCTTGCAAACACTTTTACATTGAATGGACGATTATTTGCCAGTGGAGCCAAAAACCTCACATCAGTCCTGTTTTTAAAAGAGCATGTGTTTCCAATGTAGCTATCTAGAGAGACACCTCCCTGAAAATGGTTGCATACCACAGGTCCCCAAACTGGATGACAGAGCAGATGGCTGTTGGGGCCCTGGCAGGTAAGGGCTCAACAATATGGACTTAAACAAAAGGTCTCTATATAGCCTTTCATGCTCCTTAGAGTGCCAGGGGTTAGCAATTCCTCAGAGCACTCAGACACTGATAGAAGGGAAACCTAGCATTCTGTAAGTTTTTAAAGTCAAAACAGTCAAGATTGCGAATTTCAAAGTGTATTTAAATAGGATGAATTTGAGTGAAGATGAGGGATTTCGGGAACAGGACAGAAACCACTTCTATTGACCAGGCTTCAGCAGCCTATGTGCCTCATTCAGACATGGAAACCCACACTCTGAAATAGAGATCGACTATTTTTCTAGATTTAAGAACATGTGGAGCCCTAGCTGGTATGTGGACTGAGTGCTGGCCTGCAAACCAAAGGGTCACTGGTTCAATTCCCAGTTAGGGCACATGCCTGGGTTGTGAGCCAGGTCCCAGGACATGTGAGAGGCAACCACACATTGATGTTTTTTCTACCTCTCTTTCTCCCTCCCTTCACCAGTCTCTAAAGATACATAAATACAATCTTTAAAAAAAAATGAAAGTAAAAAAAAAAAAGAGTGGAAACAAGGCATAATCCCTTACAAAAAAAAAAAAAAAAGGTCACATCTCAAATGAACTTCAACCTACCATCTAACCTCCAAAGTCAACATAGTTGTACAGTTTTGTGAATTTGAGTGTGGACTTCCCACAACAAAAGTCAGTGGCAGGACATATCAAAACAGTTTCACCTTGGAGTATAGGGAACAAAAAACCCCAAACAAACTCATAACATAAATTACCTGGGTGGTAACCATGACTACCTTCAAAATCTGGAGACCCAGTTTCCATGGGATCTGGTGTCTGGCTCGGAATTTTTCACACGGATTCATGAAGTAGAACTTCAGGTCTTCCCTCAGACATTCTTCTTTCACATCAGCATCAAGATGAGCCATCGCGTTGCTGCCACAAAAGATCAATTTTTAAGTACGAGGAACAGCCCGTTCACCAGGAAGCTCCTAAATAATACTTTGCATTCACATGCTTAACCCACTCTCACAAGCAAAACTCTCCCCGCAACCAGTAAACCTGTGTTCTCTCTAGGAAGGTGAAAATCATTCAGGACCCTTCTATTATTTGCCTTTCCACAGAGCCACTCATCTTGTTCAAAATGGCCATTTTCAAAAATTATACAATTGGAACTTTTTTGCAAAACTCGTCCATTTCTCATTTTCACACAGAGCACTCACCTGTCGCTGGCGTCCTAACAAAACTAGATGGGGTGCTTTCATGGACTCGAGAGTGAAATCACAGAAATTCAGTATAGACTAATGAAATAGTATAGACTAATGAAATTAAGTTTGTATAGAAATACAGAATCTTTCTCTATAACTTTGTACAGAAGGAAGGATTATGTTCCCCTTTATTGATAACATATAAGTGATTATAAGATCCTAAAACGTCAATATCTTTAAAAAGTTAAAATAGCATCTCTGTATTTCTGCCTAGTCAGATTTCTGTGTTGCCTTACATTAGTCAAATTTGCTTTTATTCTCTCATAGGCTATGGCCTCAGAAGTGGGCATGTGACTCAAGCGAGGCCAAAAAAGCCAGTGACATGTGGTCACAGGACTATGACTATAACCAGTGGGAGAGATGTGGTCTTTCCATTAAGTAGTCCTCAAGGCGGGGTGTGCAAAACAAAAAATTGAACTCTATTAATAAGGAATATACCATAACATACAGAAGAACAGCTGCATGTAGTAGCATTTAATTTTTAAACATACACACGTTGGGGATATATGCTTAACTCTTACTGTTGGATACATAACCAACCAAGTGTGGAGATCATAGATGGACGTGAGGCACAGCCCGGGGGTCTGACGTCCTGGAAGCCGTCCTGCCATCTCGGGAGAGCGCGGCAGAGAGTGAAGCTAACACAGGAGGACAGACAGTGGACAGACACTGGACCTGATGCCAGTGTTTGAGTCCCTGGGTCCAGCGGTATCTAAGGCCATCATCCCAACACTTTCAGTTTGAGCTAAAAATACTCGTTGGTTTTTAAGCCAGTTTGCATTAGAGTTCTGTTTCTTGTTTCTTACAACAAGGAGTGCCTAGATGGTAAATTTAATGAATAAATTCTATTTGGTTCAACCAATCAGTCAGGCTACTCATTTCTAGGGAAGTTTTTATAGTTGGGGGTCATTCTTGGGAATCTTTTCACCTGAAATGTCTAAATGACATACCTTTATACTGACTTATTATCCACAGTCTCTACCTTAACTAATAAGTTTAAAAGATGTCCAGAGGGAAAAACTATTCTAAGACTTATTTTAAGACTTATATGAAGTTGTTAATAATTTCCCATTTTTAGACAGATTTTTAGACCTCTTATTTACAGAATTAGTAGGCTAGGTTATTTAGAATTTTCCTGATGCAAGGGGAGGAAGGAAGGGAGAGAAGGAAAGAAGGAAGAGAAGGAGTAAGGGAGGGAAAGAAGAGGGAAGGAAGAGAAAAGAGAAGGATGTTGGATAAAATGCACCTTTTGGGGGAGAGGTGGAGGAAGTAGCTTGTAAGAAAAACAGCAAAATGGAGTTGCTGCTGTCGGGAGAACAGTCTAAAAAGGAGCTGGGAGGCCAGGAAGTTGGGCTCGTGACCTCACCTCATGGGAAGTTGAACTTTTGAACTTGGCCAAAACCAAATGGCTACTTCCTGATATAGTTCTTGGAACAGGCTGATCCCCTGAATTCTCTATTAAGAAATAAATTTTCACCTGACAGCAGACACAAGAAATTAATTGCGTAGAGCATATCACGGGTCCTCTTGTGAGCACCAGTCACAGCTCTTTCAAAGTGACTTGTGTACCTCCTTTGGAAGTTCCCCCTTTCTGTCTTTATAAATTCTCTCCCCTTCCTTCCCCCTCAGAACACAGCTGGGTTTCTGCCCAAATCTGTGTATCCTGGATTGCAATGTCTAAAAAATGCCCCCAAATAAAGCTTTCGTCTGCCTTGCAGTTTTGGTCAAAATTGATTGACAAACTGTAGAATACTGAAGAGTTAAAAGTTGACAAGCCCTGGGGATCTAACGCCCAGTATAGTGAATACAGACAACAACACTACATTATAAATGTGAAATTTGTTAAGCAACTAGACCTTAATTATTCTCAGCACAGAAAAGAAAGAATGACAGGACATGAAAGAGGGGCTAACTGTCACTACAATGGCAATCGTATTATAATACAAAAGTGTATCAAATAAACACATTGTACATCTTAAATTTATACAATGTCATAAGGCAAATATATTTCAGTTGAAAAAAGAACACTTGAAATAAAGATGTTTCTAAGAATGCTTAAAAATTTAAAGAGAGCAAAGATCTACCAAGCCAATCTTGGGGGAACTGGTGAAGTTGGAGCCCATTCACGTACACTTAGGCTTCAGTTTGTGGCCCCAGGACAGGAGAATAAAGGAGCCAAGACTTAAGGCCCAAAGTCCATCCAAGTTATAAAAGGAGACCTCCTCAAATTTAGGGAGAAGCCCCAAAGAGCTAACTCCTCAGAAAAACAACCAGCACTCACTGAAACTGCCTGGCCCCCCAAATGTAGAAGACTATAGAGAAGACCAGAGTAACTTCAAATCAAAGGAAACAAAAAGGAAATTAAAAACGTAGACCCATCCTGAGAAATGACGGCCAAAACCCAGCCTCTGGGACCCATGCCTGGTGAGCCCAAGAACATCATGCCATGCGCCTCGCTCAGGGGGCTCCAGGCTGGGACAGCCCTCCGCCTCCCAGCACACACACGGACCTCTCCAGAGGTCCATCCTGCGACTTGGGGTGCTCTAACAAACCACTTACAGAACACATTTACCAGCTGTAAAACAGCCAAACACATGAGAAAACCAAGTAACATAAAATAGTCAACTTAGAAACAAGGGCCAAGAACATGGAACCAGACTCAGATTAGAAAACAATCACTCTTACCTTATCGAAAGACAAACAGAGGTAAAAATATCCACTATGAGATTAACTTGGTAAAACAAAAGAACTTTCAGAAATGAAATATCATTTCCCATAATGAGTCTCATTTCAAAAGAATGAGAAGCCTTTTTAAATGTGTTTGCCCTGCACCTGTTGTAATTACCTCTTGGTTCGATCTCCTGACCTTTTACCATGAACATTTACTGTGCGGGGCTACTGTGCTAGGTCTCAGGACAAAACTGAACACATTTCCTGAGCTTCAGGTGCTCCATGTCCAGTACAAGACATAGACTTGTGAGTGCGTGTTCACAAATTAGCAAGTAACTTAGTGAAGGCTGTATCGCAAGGGTAGAAAGTATCGTGGAAACAGAGTCCTAACGCTGAGGGGAAGGGTTCACAGTCACACTACAGGGAGCGGTGGGTGCTACGGGGACGCCTGAGGAGCAGCGTTGAGGGCGGCTTTCCAAAAAGAAGGTGGCATCCTAACTGTGCGTGAGAGCAACATCCTCCGACACAGACCTCCAGGTTTCTGACAGCACGGACCATTGATTGTGTTAGATTATTTACACTACTGTACCCTTCTGCAAGTTTTTCACTTAGGTATTCATAGGGAAGTTGTAATACTTCTAGCACTGTGGGGGGGGGGGAGAAAAACTGAAAAAGCTAACATGAAAACTTTCCTCTTTGGCATATAGGAGCCACTAGGTGAAATACAGGAATGTGCTAGGCAAATGTGATCAACTAATAATAGGTATACAGAAAAAAGTTAGTTTATATGGATAATAAAGTTACAACACGAGGCTTCTGTTTTTTAATAAGTCTAACTTAAGTTTAGAAATAATATCTAAAGTTTGGAAGAAAAAGTAATGATGTTTTGGTTCAAAAAGTCTAATATCTCAAGGAAAATGTAAATGTGTAAGCTTTCTAATCTTTCTTTTCTGAAGGTTCTTTCTTGCTCCCTCTTTCCAGTTTGTAGATTTGGCCTAGTTCCCTGGAAATGAAGGGTATTAAACATACAAAGATGCAATCAGACATCTTCTTCCTATAACAAAAATACAATGGTGAAAAAAAATAGTGCAAGATGAAAACAAGGAAATTTACTAAAAAAGAGAGACAGACAGACAGGACAATATCATAACATTAAAACATTCTGCATTTGACCCATACTTATCCAATACCCATGAATGCTGAGCCCCAGGCCAGGCTGGGTGTTTGGTACAGGAGACTCGAGCTGCAATCACCACTTCATAAGCAAGAATTAAGTCAGGAGCCCTGGCTAGTATAACTGTGGATTGAGCACAGGCCTATGAACCAAAGGGCCACCAGTTTGATTCCCAGTCAGGGCACATAGCTGGGTTGCAGGCCAGGTCCCCATTTGGGGCCGCATGAGAGGCAACCACACATTGATGCTTCTCTCCCTCTCTTTCTCCTTCCCTTCCCCTCTCTCAATAAAATAAAAATAATTAAGTCAGTAGGAGTAATACTACAACTTTCACTACAAGTGATGAAAATCACCATCAGGTTTAGAAAAGGACAGAGAGATGCTAACTCGTAACACAACTCAGGGGTGACAGGGAGTGAAAGTGATTAAACCATAAAACCATTTAAGGAATAAAAACCAATGAAGATCTAAATTACGGTCACCCATCCATTGCTGGGTAGTCCTGCAATGGAAATTGCATGGAATAAATAAAGGCAATCATGAATCTTATGAATTATTTGTTTCACTAAACTATAGAAAATGAACGACCTGGATTTGTATGAGTTTAATACAAATATCAAAGGAAGAAATATTTGCAGAATATTTGTAAGCATAAAAACAAGATCTGGAATAGAAAGAAAAGTCACTCACACAGTGGGCTACATAAAAGCTAGAGGTGCTTGAATGGAAAAGTAAACAGGACTTGGCAAAGAAGCCTGAGCCTGGCACTGAGGTGAGAATTCAGGGAGAGCACATCAAAGCTACCATCGGTCATTAAGAAAACC